ACAGACATCAGGTCGGTGTGCGAGCACTGGACTACAACCCGAACAAGCTCTACCTCATCCCCACCGGCGGTGACGACTGCTACATCAAGTTTTGGTACACACCACACCACACGACACTACACGCGCCACCGCACACGACACGACATGCTCACATGTGGGCGGTGCAGAGGGAGGGAGGAGTATCTGATCAAGAGCTACGATGCGCACGAGGAGAGCGTGTGCGCGGTGGCGTGGGGCTATCCGTGACCGCACGCGATGGGCGCTTTCGTGCGGCCGTGTTCGATCTGGACGCTCGCCGCGCCAAAGTCCGGTGGTGCCGAACTCATCCGCTGGCCCAGTGGCTGGTACGCGCCATCTTTTAGAAGAGTTAGATGGGCGCTCACCAACCCAAAGGCTGTCGCCCGACTAGTCATGCAGGGTACAGGTGGGCCGTGCAACTCTTGTGGTCACACGAGCCTCATCTTCCCCGGCCAACTTCGGTCCGCCGTGTTGGATACTCTTCGTCTCTCTCTCTCTCTCTCTCTTTTTCTCTATCTTTCTTTATGTTTACCTTTCTTTTCTTTATTCCCTCTTATTTCCTCTGACTTCACACTTGTACCGTTTCAGATCTCCTCAATACATAACCTTTTTCCTTTCAGACATCTTCACGTCTTTTTAGCTTCTCAGCTTCTTGTCTTCTTCACCTCCAACAGGTTATGGGCCCACGCTACATCTAGTGCCACTCTCAACAACAATCACTGCATCTCTGTGTACAAATTCTTTCAATCTGGTTCACCATTACACCATGAGTAACAACACCAACACCAACATCAATGGTCTTTGAGTCACACTGCTTCAAGACCAATCATCCTTTGCCGAGTGGATTCAAACTGTACGCCTCACTCTCCACAAACAAGGACACTTGAAATATGTCACCACCAACTACACCACAATCATCCAGGCAGTGGATGACTACAACACTGAGCATACAGCACATCTGTTCAAGGCTCTCAACATCACATCAACAATCTCCATCACATCAGAATCCACTTCTGGTGAGAAGTCATCAGCCACAAAGGTGAAGTTGGAAGACATCAAGAAGAAGCAGATTGCTGCCTTCATTGGAGATGAACCAGCCCTCAAGGCCACTCATGAGCTGTGTAAGGGATGTTGCAAAACCTTTGTCTTCATCTGCAGTACTATTGCCCCTGAGCTACTCAAGGACATATCCAGCATGAGTGACAGCTGCCCTCTAGCTCTCTGGACAGTGATCAATAATCAATATGGCAACAACAATGTCGCCCTCCAAGCTGTGTGGCGTGACCTTGGATGGCCCAACTTCTACCTGGTTCGCCCTGGTGACACCATGTGCTCCATCTGGGCACAGATCCAGGCCCTCATCAACATGCTCACTGTCAAGACCAGAGGACACAAGATGTCAGAACAGAGCTGCCTCATGATTCTCACAACAGCCCTCAAAAGCATCAACCTGGCTTTCAAGGCTCAATTCAATGCACTTGCCAACAACACAGCCACAGAGGCCATTCTCAAGGTGCTTGACCATGTTGAGGCCTCCCATCATGCCTGCCCCAGCTCCAACACCATCCTCTACGCCAGCCAAGGCCAGCACCACAGGCGTCCAGCATTCCAACACTGTCAAGCGCCATATGGCACGCATGCGCAGATGCCGCCAAACTCTCTGCCACTGTGGCACCCAACTGGGCCTCGCTTGCCACGCCAGCAATGTCATGACAACTGGGGCAGTGACAGAGGCCGCTGGTGCTCCCTGCACAACTCCAGTGGTCACTTGCTGGAGGAATGTTGTGAGGCTGCTGCTTGTGGTCTCACTGGCGCCATGCCTTGAGCTACTCCCCAGACTGCGCACACCGCCGCTCTTGCTGCGATGACTGCTGCCGCCGTCGCAGCTGCGTCTTCTTTCCTGCTACACATGCTGCAGTTGTCCGTTCTCACTGCCATGACCGCCGCTGCCGCTGCGGCCCGCCTGAGTGATTTCGCCATTGTCAGTGAGTCTGCTGCCAGTGCTGCTCTCTCCTCTGAGCTGACACCCAATAAACCATTCCAGAACTACTTGGTCTTCTCCCTGGTCACGCACACAACATTGTCTTCAACAAACACTGCACATCACATCCTCCAGATGACCACCCACCACCCACACACATCTGTGTCCCTCTGCTACTGGACAACAATGACAACACGCTGGCTACACTGTCTTCCCCAATCCTGGGCAGTGATGCAATCGCCAACACGCCCACCAACTCCACAGAGACCATGTTGACCCATGAACCGCCATCACCTGACCTGGCTAGCCCCAACTGTCCCACACCAATGGCCTCAGGCACTGCAGCCAGTGTCTCTCCACCAGCGCCCTTGGACATCAGTCCAGCAGGTCCTGCATCTCACACAGCAACTGCTCCAGCCACAGCAACACCTCCAGAGTGCACCCCAACAAGCATGCAGATCATCAGCTCAGCACACGGCTCCACCACAACCAGCAGCAAGCAGATCAAGTGGGCAGCCACCACAAGTGCAAAGTACAGCAGTGAAACTGTGGTGATCACCCAATCCAGCCACAATGTGTGCCAACCTGTGAGGCTGAACCTGCTCTCCTCTCTCACCCATGAGGCGCCCACACACATGGCCCACACAATGCTCCAACTATGGCAAATGGACCATGCACTGAACCTCACCCAGCACACCACCACTGTTCCATGAACCTTCAGGGAAGTCATGGCCTCCAACATGAGAGAACAGTGGCTGGTGGTGATGCACAGTGAGATCAACACACTGGTGATGAACAACATCTTCAACCTGGTGGAGCTGCCTCCAGTTGACAGGCCATCAGCACACACTGGGTTCTCAAGTTGAAGGCCCTTGAGATCTTCAAAGCCTGCTTTGTCGCATGTGGCTTCTCACAGAAGGCCAGGATCGACTTTGATGACATGTACACTCCTGTACTTCAACTTGAGAACCTTCGCCTCCTCCTGGCATACACAGTCATGAACAGCCACGTCGTCCACTTGATGGACATGAACAACACATTTCTTCAGGCAGATCTCCATGAGGAGATCTACATGACACAGCCTGAAGGATTTGTCAATCCTGATCAGCCACACCACATCTACCACCTGAAGAAGGCGCTCTACAGCCTCAAGCAGGCCCCTCTGGCATGGAACCACACTCTCAACGCCTTCCTCATCCAGATCAGCTTCACAGCAGCATCCATGGACCTGTGCCTCTACACTTGCACAATCACTGTGCTAGCAGTGACGGCGACCAGGGACCCTACAACCCAGAGCTTCACTGCACCTTCATCCACTCCAGCTCCAGCAGCAGACTGCTTGTCATCCTATCCATCTACATCAACAATCTCCTGATCATCAGTTCACCTGTTGATGTCAATGCTGTCAAGAAGCAACTCTGCCAGCGGTTCCACATCAAAGACTTCAGGTCTGTGTCAACCATTCTCAGGATTGACATTGTCTACAATGCATCTGCACACACTCTTGATATCTTGCAACAACAAAAGATTCTCCACCTTGCCACCAAATTCAAACTGCTCAGGGCCAAGCCACTCTCCTGCCCACTTCCCACTGGGCACTGATCTGCACGTGGTCAAATGGACCTCTCCAACACATGCCTCTCTCAAGTTTCGCTGCCTTGTTGGTGTGCTCCTCTACATCACACTGGCTACCTGACCTGATGCACTCCATGCTGTTGTCTACCTTTTGTGATTTGTCTGTGCATTCAACAACACCCACTTCAAAGCTGTGTGGCATGTTCTATGCTACCTTCACAGCACCATCAAACAGACCATCCACTACATGAGGGATGGGAGCAACAATGAGACCCCTATAATCCACTGTGACGCCAGCTACAGCACCAACCCACTTACAATGAAATTGTATTCCAGCAACATCACTGTGTGGGCCAGTGGACCCATGGATGGTGGTCACAAATTCATAAGACCATCACCCTCTCAACTGCCAAAGCAGAACTCATCGCAGTGACCAACACCACGCGCCAAGCACTCTACCTTCAACACATCCTACCTACACTCAGCCTTCAGATTGAGCAGCCCATCCAGATTCTCAACAACAATCAATCCACCATCATGATCATGCACAAGCCTGTCTTTGCCTGGCCCAAGAGACTGAAACACGTTGCCATCAAACACACTTTCATACATGACCACATCCAGTGAAAGGACATATCTGTGGACTACATCCCTATGAATGACAATCTCACTGACTTCCTCACCAAGCACATCGCCAGACCCAAGCTCAAATGTGACAAGATCAAGCTTGATCTCTCTGTTAGAAACTGAAGTGAATGTGCAATCTCTTTTGACTCAAGGGGGAGTGTTGGATACTCTTTGTCTCTCTCTCTCTCTCTCTCTCTTTTTCTCTATCTTTCTTTATGTTTACCTTTCTTTTCTTTATTCCCTCTTATTTCCTCTGACTTCACACTTGTACCGTTTCAGATCTCCTCAATACATAACCTTTTTCCTTTCAGACATCTTCATGTCTTTTTAGCTTCTCAGCTTCTCGTCTTCTTCACCTCCAACATGCTGTTTCTGGAGCATGATTCTTGCTTGCCAATGGCTGCTGTGAGGCCTTGCCCTACGTCTTCGCCTCCCTCTCCTATGACAGCCTATACACTACATACTTGATAGCAAGTTGGCAGTTTATTTATGAGAGTGTGAATGAGTTGCAGACTGTCTCTGGACAGGTGGCTGATGCATGAGGACAGCTTGTCTGTTGCAGCTCTGCCTCTTCCACTGCTCCTTCAAGTGAGCATGGAGTGCTGCCAGCCTGTGCGCTATTGATAGAGCAGTGGAGGGAGGCGGAGAGGAAGGGGGTGAGGGAATAGGGGGTAGAGGTGGGGAGGAAGCAGCAGGGGTGTAGAGGCGCTGTTCCCACTGGATGAGCGGCCAGAGGAGTTGGAGGTAGGGCTGCTTGCATGTGTGGAAGGTAGCCTGATCGATGAGCCCAAAAGCTTGGGCAATTGCCCGTAGCTGAGCGACGGTGAACTTGCGGCGTAGCGCGTCGCAGGAAGGAAGGATCGGCAAGGTCAAAACCCTGCAGAGTGAACACCATTAGTGAGTGCAGGTGTGATGCACAGTAGTCTCATACCTCATAGAGAAGGCTGGCCGGGGCTACACTCTAGCCACAGCAATCAGTGTTAGAAGTGTATATGCTAGATATGAGGCAGAAAGAGAATGGGTGAAACACCTTCAGAAGTGGCCAGGATGGATTCCTCTGGTGTGCCTGGCAGGTCAGAGGGTGGGACTGTGCTGGCGACACTGGTGTTGTGGGCGGTCTCAAGGTTGGTGGAAGGGGTTTCGTGCTTGATGGGGGTTTCAGAAGATGACATGAGCATTGTGTCGAGGAACTAGCAAAAAGAGAAAAGTGCGGTGAGAACAATGAATGTAAAAGAGGTGAGCTGCATGTTTATGTACCTCAAGCTCACGCTCAAGCTCCTGCTGCTGCTACTCAGCCGTGGGAACCAAGCAGTGAAGGTGATGAGGGATCCAGTTGAGGAGGGCCGCCTGCACAACCTCAAAGTCACTTGGAAGGTAGACAATCTGCCAGATGTGCCTGGCGTGCTCAGTGCTGGTTGTAGCGGTCTCCTGGAAGCAGCTGAGGCAGAGCTGTTCGCTGTAGAGCTTGTGATGTGACATGCACATGATGCACTGCACACCATGCAGGAGGTCAAGTCCACACTTTGTGCAAGTTGTGAGGTGGGTGTCCAAGCACATCTTGTGCACCAGCTGTCCCTGCAATTGAAAAAAAAACATGAGTAATCTTCACATCACACAGGATCTGCGTAGGTTGAGATGAACACTGAATGGGAGGGTTGAAGAAGCACAGGAGAGAGGGTTCAAGGTATTGGGGTTGACGGGCATAGAAATTGTCTCAGGCTCAGGCAATGGCTGCTGCGTGATGGACACCAAGTTAGAAGCACAGATTGATTGATCAATGGGGGAACGGCACCTGGTTGGGCTTTCTCTTCTTCTCATGCTGGTCCTTGGGCAGACCAGAATGCTTCCTCTTGCTGTGGCCACCCAGCTTCAGTTCTGTGCCCTCCTGCACGCTTAGCTTCTCCCACAGCAGTTTGAGCTGTTGGGTGAGTGAGTGGATCTCTTGCTTCAGTTTGTTCTCCTGCAGTAAAGGAGGCAAGTGTTAGTGAAAAGGTCTTGGAAACACAGTAAAGCAATGAGAGTCACACCACAGTGTTCACTGCAGTGGCACGCAGTTGGAGGTGGTGCTTCAATTGCCACTTCATGATAGCTGTGGCAAGAGCAGGATTGGAGGTCGCCTGGGCCCAAGTCCAGTGGTTCTTCTTGGCAGAGTCGGTCCAGACACACTTGCTCAACTTGATTGCCTGATTGACATTGGCAATGTTGTACTGTAATTGAGTGAGCATTGCCATAAGGACCATGTGCAAAGCCAAATTAGAAGTACCTTCTGCCTGGGCAGGGGCTCATCCTCACCATCAGGGGTTGTGCCCTCAGTCTCACTCTCACTCACCCCTTCTTCTTCCTTGGTGGAATGAGCGTGGCACTTTGTGCCTGCTGGAGGACAGTGATGAGTGGTGAAGTGGTGCTCATCATAGCACTTGGGGTCAGGTGACCAGCCTTTGTCAAGCATGGCATTATGTGCCATGATCATGGTGGCCTCAAGATTCTTGATCACAGGCACGTAGATGTCCATGTCAGCATTGCCCCACAATGTGAGGACAAAGATCTTGAGCCCACAGAAGCACTGTAGGAGAACCCTGTGGGATGATGTCACTAAAAAGTGAGAGAAAGATGGTGGTGTGCTTACTCATAGGTCAGTGCAGCAACAACATGCTTTCCATCATGTAGTACACATGAAGTCAAGTTGAGGTGATGCAAGAACAATTTCAATTCCACCCATGTGTTGATGTTGATGTAGTCCATGTTTTGTGTCTCTTGAACCTTCATCAGTGTTGTAGCAATGCTGAGAAGGATGTTGGCGTAGGTGCAGTTGGTCTGCTGCAGGTTGATGGAGTTGGCCCAGGCGATGTTGTGTAGTGATCCTCACAGATGAATGGGATGGATGGTTGAGCTCTTGAACTTTGGGATGGGGTGAGCCACTAACACTGTGTGAGTGTGTGCCTTGTGTGTGAAGCATGTGATTGAGTGAAGCTATCTCTTTTTTGAAATATGTACAGGAGCTGTACTGTGTAGGTGGGCAAGTCCTCAACATGGATTCTGCCAAGATGTGCATGCTCCTGTCTGGCCAGTGGCACTGGTGGCTTGTTGAGCAGGTGCTGCAGAGCCTCCCACTGCTCCCTTGAAAGTGTAAATGTACCTCTGGTGTGTCCATTCATGTAGTGTGGTGAAGTGTGTTATGTGGTCTGTTGGGCTTCAGGTGTTGTGTGTTGTGGACATTGAAAGTCAGTTTCCAGACATGTTTTCACACCTTCTCTCCCACTTCCCTCTCACATTTCTGCCCTGCAGACCATATATGGACACCTGGTCTATTGTGAAGTTTGTAATGGAGCTCAATGTGGATGCCCAGGTGCATGCCACCACTGATGCCCTGGTGCTCATATGGGACATAGATCCTCACAGCACACAGGAAATTGCCCATGCACTTGCTATCTACCTTGCCTTGAAGCCTGCCACACTTCAACAGCAGATGAATGCACTCTTTGGTGAGCCATCCCACTCTGCAGCTGATGCCCTGGCGGACCTGCACAAGAAGCTCAACGATCCCCTCATTGGCGCCACAATTGTGGCTCAGGTTGGCCTCTCCTGGGAGCAGTATTGTCACCTCATCTCAATCATCAGCCATGACCGAAGCAACCCTCATCAGCCCATCCAGCTAGTCTCTGGGCTCTCTGCTGGCCGCCTCCTACCCTCGCTCAGCGCAGTGCAGGCCTTCTGGCATTCAGAGACAGCCTCAGTCCCTGGGCTTCAGAGCTTCAAGCATGGTGGGCACACTGCCACCATGTGGCCAGTCAAGTCAATCCTCAACTACATCTTTGCAAGCCCCTTCCTCCTCTTGTTCTTTGAGTACCATGGGCAACTCAATGTCATCCACTGAATGGACAAATTCCCACAAGGCAGGCGCAGTGTCTTCGTGGAGAGCTACATGCTGTGCAACTTTGGTCACCTGTGCAAGGTGCTGCCCTTCCAATTCCTTAGCATCATCTCCCACTGCACCACCCACTCCAGCGGCCTCAAGACACTCCTCCATGTCAACAACAACTTCCTCAGTTGCACACTCCAGCAGGGCTACATGATGATACAGCCACCTGGCCAGCCCTCCTTCCAGCTCCCATTGGCGCTGTGCGTGTGTGCTGATGACCCCATGCTGCGCTTCTTCCTCCGCCTGCAGCAGAGCAGCTCCATCTATTGCTGCGTCTACTGCCTCTGGCTCCATGGTGGGCCACCCACACAGGACTCTACATGCCTTCAAGTCACATCAATCCGTTCAGCCTGCATGGCAATCCCCTCCTGTGGCAGCTACCTGGATGCCAGCAACACGGCACCCATGGTCATCTCTCTACACCCCTACAACATGGTCTTCTGCATGCTGCACACCCTCTGCCATGTTGGCAAGCTCATGGCCAACCTCATCTACAACTACATTGCATCTCAAGTGAACCCCACTCCACTCTTCACACAAGTACAAAACATTCTCCTTGGTCCTGTATCTCTGCACTTCTCTCACACTTCTGTGGTGAAACAGCTCAACTCAATCTTGGAACTGGGCCGGGTGGATCGCCAGCAAGCCAGCGCAGGGGTGGCATCTCAAGGGAAGCCACACAGCCCTACTCCTCAAGGTATCAACTCCTCTCCTCATTTTTCTCATCTCTTCCTCTCATACCGCTGTCTGTGCTCCAGATCTTTGCACTCCTTGGCCCCACTCTGGGGCTGGAGGCAGCCATCATGGAATGCATCACCAATCTTCATCATGTGTTCCACATGCTCTACCTGTTTGAGCCTCTCACACCTGAGCATGCCAACAAATGGTCCTGGTTCAAGGACCACGTCGATGACATCATGGCCCACTTCCAGCGCCTGGTGGCACAAGGTTGGGAGTCTAACTACATGCACAAGATCCAGAAGCACAGCATCACCCTGCTCAAGCATGGTGGTTTGGCCCCATTCACCAATGACACCCACAAAACACTACAATGCCTGCTCAAGCAGGCATTCCACAACTTCTCACCACACCATGGAGGTGACCCAGCACACAACACACTTCATCATGTGTGGCAGCACTGGTTCATGCACCTGCATGTCCTTGTGCTCAACACTCACCATGGGCCAGCAGCAATTCCTGCACTGTTGGACCAGCTATGGACTATGTCTGCACTTCCAGACATTCTGTCTGAAGCTTTGAAATAAAGCTGCATTGCAAACCACATTCCCCTCAATCTGCCAGACCCACCCTGAGTGTTCCATTTGCCCTTCTGTCCTCTGCTACCTCCTACATCCTCGCCAAGTGTACACACCCAATGGACAACACCTACGCAGCCCAGGTCACCACCTTCATCAACACTCACCCTATCGGTGTGGAAGCCCGGCGTGGAATAAGGGTCCTTCATGCACTGGGATGCCCTCCCACACTCAACTACCTCATTCTTGTCGTCCGCCGCATCCCGCCTGGCCCCGACAATGACGCGCACTTCTGGTTTGCGGACCGGGGCATGCTGGCCTAGATTCAGGCTCAAGGTGACGCACCCGACCACCCTCTGGATCTCAACACCGCCACCTTTGTCGAAGCACAGTTCGCGTATCAACCAACTGGCTATTACGCTCTTCTTGTAATCAACTTGGAGCAGTCTCGGTCCATCGTAACCTGGCTCCCTCAACCTGCGTCTGGACAGTAAAAACCAATGAAAGCACTTTGTCCACCCAAAAAAATTGTGTATTTAAATTGTCCAGACATCGTCTGCAATTGTGTTGGCTAGAGACGTGGACCTGGGGCCTGTTTGGGTTGCCTGCTCACGTTTTTTGGTGGGCCAGATGGTACGGCGTGGGGCAGGACAATGCCCTCTGGTCAGTGGTTGTGGCCGGCTTCTTTGAGTCACGCCAAGCCGCCACTACCGAGGGCAACAACACGCAGGCTCAGGGAGAGCTCCGACGCTGGTTCCTCGAGGTGCACTCGCCGCACGTCACGTCATGCCACGACACGCATGACACACGACCGCTTACTTGGGCGTGTTCGGCGGAAATAGGAACTATACAAGTTGCGGGCTTCGTTCGATGGTCACGTCAACGGGGCCAAGCAGCACTACGCCACGTTGCCACCACCCAGGCCGGCAGCATTGAAGGTTTGCCTTGTGGTACGAACGTTTCTCGCGTCGTGGCGGTGTTCGTTTGGCGATGTGTGGCTGACCCGATCGGAAAAAAAAAAAAACAAGGGCGATCCCGGCACAGGCAAGACCTGTTGGGCCATTGCACACAGCACCAACGCATTCCCGACCGACTATGTGCCTCGCGTATTCGGTACTGATCTTTTATTCCCAAAAGTGGTTGTGATATGTTAATCTCTGGACGCCAGACAACTATTCGCCCGGCGTGATGGTGAGTGACGACCAGCGCTACGCTCCATCGCTGTGGGATACTGCCGGCGCCGAGGTACGTGTGTCCACCCTCCACCCAGGTGTGCGCTGCTGTCACTGATGCACCGGCTTCCTTCGTCGTCGCATCACGACGCACCTTCATCGATCATCGTACGATGCATCAGGATTACAATCGGCTACGGCCGCTGTGTTACCCAAACACCGATGTGTTCGTCCTCTTCTTTAGTCTCGTTGACAGAGGCTCCTACGATGAGATCACCCGCAAGGTGCGCCTCCCCTGAGGCTGGGTTTCCGATTAAACCGGCCCCCGATTCTCGCGTCTGTGCGAAAACTCTTACACGCACACGCACACGCACACGCACACGCACACGCACACGCACACGCACACGCACACGCACACGCACACGCACACGCACACGCACACGCACCACCGCACACGCACACAGTGGATGGTAGAGATCAGGCCCCACCTGACGAGCGAGACCCGCGTGATCCTGGTGGGTACCAAGCTCGATCTTCTGCGCGATCTGGCGCACTGGCCCCTGAAAGACCCGCTGGGCCACAGCTGCAATGACATCATCACCTTCTCCCAGGTGCACTGCGCCTCCCTGCGTGCGTGTTCGTGTGATGCGTGCGCTTCTGACCACTAGTCACGGTGCTCAGGCCTGGCAGCTGGCCCACGAGGTAGGTGCGGTGGGATTCGTGCCCATATCGGCGCTGGCGAGACTCAATATGTCCCTCCTGTTCGACCTCATCCGCGCCGCGCCGAACTTGCCCGCACGCACCAAACCGAAGGGCAAAGGCAAGCCAGCCTGTTTGTTGAGCTGAAAGAACGAAGAAGAACGAAGACAGCGAAAAAGAGGCCTTTTTGGAGGGGGGGGGATCACCGACGCCCGCGCCCCCGGCGCCCTCCGCCGCTCTTGCAGCCAAAGGTCTGGTCCCAGCAGGTGGGCTTGACGCTCTCGTTGAAGAACCCCTCGCAGAAGACGATCATCGGGATGCGGACGAAGAGGTAGAGGGGCGAGATGACGAAGAACGCCAGGATCCAGAACACGACCAGGAACACGACCTCGAGCACCGCGAGCAGGCCGATGAGCAGCGCGAAGAACGGGAAGCAGAGGCCCGCGGCCGTGCGCCGCTTGTAGGTGCTCTCCGTCCCGAAGCAGAACATGCACGTCAACGCCGACACCGACACATACCTAACGTGTAACGCAACAGTCACGCGAGTGTCATGTTGTGCGTGTGCGTGTGCGTGTGCGTGTGCGTGTGCGTGTGCGTGTGCGTGTGCGTGTGCGTGTGCGTGTGCGTGTGTGCGGAATGCAGTGTGCACTGTACCAGGGGCAAGAGGGGCTCTTGCAGCACTTGCCCTCTTCGCACTGGTGTGCGCTGGCGCAGCAGAAGACCGGACCCTCGCAGGTGCACGAGAAGCAGCCCTGGTCCGACGCCCGTGCCTCCCGCGTCATGTCCTCCATGCAGCCGCAGCAGCCGCAGCACTCCTCCTCGTCTCCGCCTTCACTACCGCCCATCGGCGGGGCAGACGGCACCACGGCCACCGGTGGTGGCGCGTCGGCCTCGGCGTCGAATCTCGGCGAAGGCTTGACCGGGTCGGGCGGCAGACTATAGACGCCGACCTGGGCACCGCCGGCGTAGTGGTTGTGGTGGTGGTCGTCGTGCGGGTGCTTTGCGCGGTAGCTTGAGGTGGAGAGCAGGAGAGGGTTAGAGCGGGCTGGGGTCGAGATCGAGGTGGAGGGCAAAACCCGGGAGCTACCGTTCGATGGCGGAGCGGAGGGCGTAGTTGGGCACCAGTTGCTCCTCGGTTAGGGACCGCTTGCACACGGGGCACGAGGGGTGGTTCTGCCGCAGCCAGGTGGTGATGCTGACCCGCGAGAACGAATGCCCGCAGGTGGCCATCATGGCCTCCTCCTATCAACCCCCCCCAGAGCACACATTGGCGTGTAGCGGTCAAGCTCGGTCAACCAATGAAAACGATTCAAGTAAATTAACACTTGGGGTCTTCAGGGAACTGCCGAACAGTTGGGCGGAAGGAAGAGAGGAGGGTACCATGATGGAGAGGGTGATGGGGTCCGAGAATTCTTCGGGAGCTTCACTCTCGCTTTCCATTTGTGTTCTTAGTGGTGGGCCGCAGGCAGAAACGCTGAGTTGTTCTGGTTTGATCAGGAATCACTTATCGCCTGTGCTGGGGCCGTACTTCTTTGGGGGAGGAAGAGCTTGATCTTCTTGGTTTAGGAGGCCGTTTGCTTTCGCTACAGAACTCTAACGACCACTTCAAGTTAACTTCCACTGGAACTCCGAGCCGTCAGCGGCCATCAAGATCTCTTCTGTTTTCACTTGTAAACAGAGCAACGGTGTAAAACTGTGGGTTTTATTGGTTTTTGGTGGCGGCGAGGTGAATGGTGGTACATCGCTCTCTTGCTTGCCTTGCGTGCTGACACAAAAAAATGAAAGCGTGTAAAAATGATAAGATGAAGATGAAGATAGAGGTGACAAAAGGCTCGAGAAGAGAGTGAGGGAGTGAGAAAGCGTCACGGTCGGCGGGTGGCGGTGAGTGGTGCCGGACGTGGGCCGCCTGCTGGGAGAGGCCGCCGGTCGTCGGTCGTCGGTACTCCGCTCATTCCTTGGTTTCCTTGGGCTCCTTGCCCAGCCCGCTCGTGTTGTCGGTCCTGGCCTTGCCCACCAGGAAATTCTTCCCCGAGTTGGTCTTCTGCGGGCTGAAGGGCTGCAACAGACCGCCCGACGCATTACCGCGCGGCGAAGAGTTTCCTCGCGGCACTCCTGCACCGGCAACGCGCGCGTGTCAACCGGTGTGTTGTGTGTGTGTGTGTGTGTGGTGCGTGTGCATGTGCGGTCGTGTGTGAAATGTTGCGGGGTTATACCTTTGATGAAGGAACCGGGAACGCCAAGGTTTGGCCGCTTTCCCTCCTCGGCCTCGCTCTCCTCATCGGCGTCGGAGTCTTCGGACATGTCCTCGTTGGCCTTCTTCTCACGCTCACTGTGACGCGCACACGCACACGCACGCACACGCACCCAACCCACGCACGAGAGAGGGAGAACACGCACGCAAGTGTGATTTATTAGTTTCTACATCTTCCGGCTAACAAATGAGAGAGAGAGAGTCACCCGACACAGGAAAGAAAGAAGAAAGAAGAACGCAAATAAGAAACAAAGAACGAATGCGTTGAATGCTTGATGTGAAGGGAAGGGGGGACGTACACATCGATGACTTCGCCGTTCCCGTTCTCCGCGTAACTGTAGTCCTCGTCGTCCTCTTCATCGGACGAGGACGATGAACCGTCCTCCTCGCCGTCAGCCGGCTCCTTCTTATCGGACGACGAATCCGACGCGCCGTTCTCCTCGCCCTGCGCGCACACAACCAAAACCGAAAACGAAATCGTTTCGGTTAGCTGAAAAGTGACTTGGTGGGCGCGGCGGGGAGGGGGGGTTACGTTGGGGAGGCTGGAGCCGGACTCGGCGTTCTTGAGGTCCTTGAGGGAGAACTTGCCCTTCTTGATCTCCTCCTCGTACTCGGCCTCGGACATAAAGTACATCTCCACCTGGAAGTCCTTGCTGAAGACCTTCTTCTTGTCGCGGCAGGCCTTGTCGAGCTCGGGCTTGGTGAGCACGAGCCGGCCGTCCTTCACGAAGGCCGTGTGGAACCAAAACATGAACAGCGTGCCCTACACAACGCACGCACACATTCGTCAGTCAACAATGCTAGCGTGTGTGCGATGGCGTGTGTGCGGTGTGTGCGGTTGAGAACAGAGAGCTGTACCTTGCCAGAGTTGGCTACGACGTGGACGTCCCTGACGACGCGCAGAGGCTTGTGAAAATCGATGTTGAGCATTCCGATCTGCTTCTCCTGCTTGCCGATCTGCTTGATCGAAGACCTGAAGCGCTCGTTGTAGCCGTACTCCTCGATGATCACCTGAATATCTGTGTACGCGTAACACGCCAGCCAGCGGGGGTGGAGGTGAGCCCCAGTGTGTTGTGTGTTGTGTGTGTGTTCGACAAGAATGAGGCCTAACCTTTCTTGCCCTTGGGGATTCCGTGCAGGATGAAGCCCTTGATCCACAGCGGTGGCGCGTCGACGAACCGCGGCTGGAAGGGCGCGTCCAGCATCTGTTCGTAGTACTTGATGTACCGAATCTACCACACACACACACACACACACACACACACACACACACACACACACACACACACAACAGGCAACCACCCAACACACACCACTGGCTTAGTACAAGCAAGCTAACCTCCAGGGAAGAGGAGAGGGAGACGGGCGGGGTACCTGCGAGGGGATGGTGACGCCCTTGCCATCGCGGGTGCGCTCCTTGCCGTAGTATTTCATGGCCTCCTCGGCCGTGCTGAACCGGCCGCAGTGCAGCAGGTAGCAGCAGATCAGCAGGCCCGTGCGACCCTACATGCGGACGCACGTGGGAGCAAAGCGGTGGTTAACAGAGTGCTTGGCAGGAGCGTGTGTGTGGTGTGTGTACCTTGCCGGCCTTACAATGAATTGCGGCCACGTGCTCCGGGTCTTGTGCGAGGAAGAGATACTGCATGGAGGGAGGGGGAGCGACATCAGACGCCGCCAGGGTCGAAAAGCACGCCAAGAGAGGACCAACGAGTAGAACACGTACCAGACTGTAGCACATCTCGGGAATCTGATGCAGAGGCGGCGAGTTGTGGTCCATGAACGGGAACACGCGCACTGTGGTTGGAGACCGAAGCGAATAGAAGAAGTTTAAGAAGCAGAAGAAGAGAAGAAATGTGTGGTGCGGTGGTGGTGGTGGAAGGTGCGGTGTGTGAGTGGCAACGGCAGAAAAAGTAGAGGAGTGTGAAGCAGAAGAAGAGAGGGAGAAAATGGGCTGACCTCGCATGTTGAACTTGGTGGAGACGTAGACCCGCTCGGCGCACAGGTTGTACACCATGTACTTGTTGGGGTGGTAGTTGTCGAGGAACCTGATGGGGGGTCCACCACCGGCAGCAAGAGATGAGCCTCAAATTGATTGTGTAGAGGGGAGAGGCAAGGAGAATCAAATCTCGGCAAAAAGGGCGTACCGCTGGACTTCAGAGAGGGGGTTTCGGTACACGCCTTCAGCGCCCTCCGAGGGATAGCCCTACACCCATCACACGTCAATCATCACGCAAATGGAAAACAAATTAAATTGAATTGTGGGGGGGGGCAAGTTAAAAACGAAGGCGTGGAGAACGAAGGGGGGGGGGTTTACCATGGCCAGCAGGCGACTGTCGCCGATGTCTGGACGTGGCGGGATGATGATGAAGCGAGATGAATCAAGTGGAGGCCGTAAGCAACAATAACCCCATCCACAGAAAACGCAATCAAAAATGCAATGTGATTTGGAGGGGGGGGGCTGTACAGGCCAAGTCGAGGTCGAATCCGTCTTTCACCCATCGCTTCTTCTTGAGCGAGACCTTCTTTCTCATCGGATTCGTGAGCTTCTGCATCTTGAATTATGTCCTCTCGCAATCACGAATCCAATCCAAATCTCAGGCACCAAGAATGAAGAAGCGGGAAAGGAGGAGTGATCTTCTCTTCCTCCTTCTAGGGTTCCGTTCCAAGATGTGCGACGACAAACGAACAAGTGCGGACGCAGCGAGAGACGCAAGGCAGACCCCGAACAACGTCCGTTGCAGGATAATTAATTAAGGCTAGCCATTTTATTGTTGCGCTGTGGTTGGCCGATTTAAACCTCGTACGTTCCACCCAACCACATAACATCAACACCAACATCAACTACATCATCACACCATTGCGGTCGTGTCGGCGGCCTGGCACTGGGGGCACTCGGGGATGGCGGGGAGGGGCATGGCCGAGAGCTTGCGGGTGGCGTAGCGCTTGCGGGTGGGCTTGAGCTGCTGGTTGTAGGCCGAGAAGAGGTGGCCCTGGAGGCCCTTGCTCACGTGGACGCTCTTGAGGCTGTCCAGCGCCAGGTAGTGCGCCAGCGTGGTGAGGGTCATCACCGGCTGTTGTTGTTGTTGTTGCTGCTGCTGCTGCTGCTGCTGCTTCGACTCGAGCGCTGCCGCATTGGTCTTGTAGATGCTCTTCAGCAGCTTGCCGCGCTTGCTTTCCTTCGTGTTGAGCCGCTGCTGCTCGTGGAACCAAACGCCTTCAAATTGAAGTGTAAACAAACGACCCAGTGCGAAGCGTGCGCGTGCGCATAAGTTGCAAAGTGGGAGCACTAGCGCGTACCCATCTCCCTGTAGCTCAGCTTGGAAAGGGTGTCCATGTACAATCGATCGGTTTCGTCGCAGAGCGATACCAACAGCGCGTGGACGTACTGCGAGCGAGTGGGTGAGCGTGTCGCTTCGGTGTGTGTGTGTGTGTGTGTTGCACGCTCGCAACAGAGGAAGTGGTGTCCGTACTCGATACCAGTGCGCCCAATCGGGGTAGTAGTGGCAGAAGCGCTCCTTGTGGTCGAAGGTAGTGCGCACGATCGTGAGGAAGTAGTCCTCTTTAGTGTGCCGACACGTGTACGGACCTGCACAGCCCAGTCCAAGAGGCAATCAGCGCTGACCCAAGCCCGACCAGACGACAGGAGATGAGTACCCAGGGAGGCCAGTGCAGTGTGGGGAGGCGTATGGACGACGATGCGGGCGAGGCCGGGGCCGCACACGATCACACCCTGGGTCTCGAGCAGGTTCGACTCCCAGCACTTGTCGACGAGCTTGTCCAGCACATACTTCTGCCGCTTTCGTGCGGCGACGGCTTCGTCGTCGGCTACGCCGCCACTCGCGCTCGACCTCTCGGCGGTGGCCAGCCCCTTGTCAGGGTTGGCGTAGCCGCCTCCGCGCCGCGACCACTCCCTGCGCTCGGCCACAGTGGGCTCGCCTTGCTGGACCCACTCCGCCGCCAGCGCCGCCAGGTCGCTTCGCTCGGTCGGGCACTCCCAGCCATTCGCGCGAGCGCACTCCTTTGGCAGTGACTCCTCGGCTGTGGCGCGGTCTCGCACGCCCACCAGCACCAGCCGCTCAACCACCGTTGCTGTGCTGCTCGGCTTCGCGTCGTGGGCCTCGCCGCTCTCGGCTTCGTCATCATTGCGCAGCAGGTGGTCGACATTGGCGCCCTGGGTGACGAGGCGGAACATGTAGCACTTGTCCCGGTCGTCGGGGAGTCGATACCCGCGCGCCTTCCACACCCGCCAGAACAGCGCGTCGAGGAGCCTGTTCCAGTCCCGGCCCTCGTCCATCTCGCGGCCCTCGTCGCGCCGAATGCGGGCGCGTTCGCGCTTGCGGAGGCATCGCCCGATGAAGCTATTGCTGGTCGACGAGACCAGCCAGCGGTCCGAGTACCAATAGAGGGTGATCGACAGGCCGGGGCTGATCTCGTAGATGCGCACCTTGCCCCACTCTGTTATCGTAGGCAAATGTTTCTCCTGTGTGTGGTGTGTGTGGTGTATGTATGCGTGTGTGCGTGTGTGTGTGTGTCGCGGTTCGGCTGTCAGCGGATACGCGACATCGCGGGGGTAGGGCACGGGTGGGTCACCTCGTCTTCAGTGTAGTGGAACAAGCGCGGAAAGCCCTGGCAAGCGATTCGCCAGTTGTCGTCTTCGTCGAGCACAAGGCCGGAGCACTCCCTGACCACCGCACATTGCTGCGTGTCCATAGGTCATTGATCAATCACACGCCAGCACGATCAGCAGCCAAGGCATTGGCGGTGGCGCGCGTGTGTGTACCGCGGGCGAGGAGTAGAGTTGCTGGTTGAGTTGCACCAGGTTGGGAAACAGGTGGTGCCGGGAGACGCGCAACGAAAGCTCCCGTTTAAGAAAGCTGAGATCGTGTCGCTGTCCTGCCTGGTGCGTGGGTGGATGGTCGCCTGCCTCCTCCACCTCCTCTTCCTGAAGTGAGATTCGAATATAGTCGATGGTGCTGAGCGTCGCCGGCTGGGGGAGCTGCTGGATGAGGGCCATCTTCCGCCGGTAATCGTTCACGCCCTGCCGAAACTCGAGGCGTAGCGGGTGGTAGAGAAGGTGAAACCATCTGTCGAGCTCGTGCCAGGTCAGGTTCTCACCGTCGAGCTGCATCACCTCGCGGTAGTATTGATTGGCAAGCTCGTTGACGCTGAGGTCGACCGTCTTGCCCTTGTTCTTGACGAGATTGTTCGCCATGAGCATCGTGCGCAGGCAATGAATCATACACTTTCGCCCTCTGTCACCACATACGGTACAGTCAGAACACAACCACGCACAGACGACTGCACAACGTGACTCTGCTCACCTGACATGGTGCTTGCGCTTCATGAACTGGCGACTGAGCATGTGGTGCGACCACACGTAGGCATTCACGGAATGCTTCAGTCGCATCAGGTCCAGCTCCCACGAGAATCTCTGCAAATGCAGCCACACGTCAGAACTTGACTTGCCTGAAGTACACACGTTCGAGATGGTGTGGGCGTAGGGGGGCACCTCAGGCGAGTTCTTCAGTGCGAGCGACGAAGGCAGGAAGTGTTGGCACAGAATGCTGTGCAAGTCCTGCCAACCGACCCAACCTTCTCAGGTCCGCACATGCGCAGCACACACGTACACGAGCTTGTGGGTGCCAGGTACCTGGTAGTCCAGCATCTCCTGCCAGTTGCCGGCCTCGTACACGGTCATGTCCACATTGCCACGACAGTACAACACCTAGCCGACAGCGCGCCCAGAATGAGGTCAACTGCACCAACGACCCAGCATAGCATGGCCGACTCGCACCTCCCAGCGCAGCTCCTCTGGTCGATCGGGGATCTGGGCTGCTCCGGACGAAGTCGCTGGCGTTTGACCAGTTGCAACGTCGGCTGCCTCCTTCGCGGCGGCGTCCACTGCCAGCGGCCCGACGTAACCGTCGACCACGGTGTAGAAGTCCCAGTCTGCCATCATGACCACGAAGACATGGCATCAGCTTGCTGCGCCAGGGTAGGGTTGCAGAGGAGAAAGGAAGTTCGTGATGATGTGGGGGGGGGTACCAGACTGGGGCGTGGCTGTGCCGAAGGCGTGCGAGCCGAAGACGTAGATGCCCTTCACCACCTCGGGTGGCAGAGCGAGCAGGCCCTCAATCAGCTCGCGGCTTATCTCCTCCGGCGCGTACTCCCTGCTCTCTTCGTTCTCCATCTGTTTGTTTTGCTTGCCGCCCTCGCCCAAAACTGGCTTTTATGCTGCAATTTTCTTTCCTGCTTTCTTCTTAACGCCAATCCAAGCTCCAGGCCTTATGCGAACGAAAGAGGGCCACCGGTGCCGCACCAAGGCCTTCGCCGTACCTTACATCAAGGCCGACCCCACGTCCTCGTTTAGGGTCAGAGCAGACATCTCAGTTATGCCAAGGCAGCCAACCCGCAAAATTTTTCACATTCCACTCCCACACTGTGGGTAACAATTCACAACTGCTATTTGTGGTGCGGCCACAACGCGAGGTGGATTGTTGTTTTTCCCTTTCATCTTCATCTCTGGCGCAACAACGTGGAAGTAGATCCCTCGTCGAGCGGTGGTGGTGGACAAGATGGATTTTCAGGTGGACATGCGCTACGACATTACGCACTTCGTGTTGGCGGGTCTCTACTTCTTCCTGTGCCTTCTTTCTATCTTTTGCATGCTACGATTGTGCGTTGTGGGGCACTTCAAGCGATGGCAGCTCTTCTTTCACCCCATCTTCTTCTTGGGCACCCTCGGTACGGCATGAATTTGATTCAATTTATCTGTTCATCTATTTACTCCCTATTTTTTTGTTGTTTCTGTTTGAGGAATGACCTAACGCGACTGGCCTGTGTTTGTGTCATTGATACACATCTAATCGCTCCATCTACCCGTCTCTAATGCAAATAAATTGCTCGTCAATACGTGCAATTGCGGAGCCCATTTCGGTTGATTTTTCTCGCTGTGATTTCGTTCTGGCTCACTTGTTCCTGCGTGTTTGGCGGTTGGGCTCTTGTGCTCCAAAGTCCGCATGGTGTTCTTCCTCTTGCAGCCGCTCGTCATGGAGCGAGAGATACACATCCCCAACAAGGCCAACATGTTTATGAACTCACTGCCGTCCTGGTTCTTCTTCACCGACTACCTCATCGTGCTCTTCCTCTGGTACGTTGCGTCTTGCTGTAGGTTAGAAAGTGGTCGTGCTCTGGCGTCTTCGCGTTGCTGTTGTTCATTAGTTCGTTCGCGTTACTCCGACGTGTGCGTGTGCGTGTGCGTGTGCGTGTGCGTGTCTGCACTTGTGTCTTACATGCAACACGATGGACTTGATGACAGGGCGGAGATCTATCACTTCGCCCGAGGCGGTGAACTGACGATCAAGAAGCTGAGTCCCGTGTTCTGGTCGCTGACCATCACGATGTACTGCGCTGTCATCCTTCTCTACGTCTTCGATGCCACCTTGTACGCACTCCGCTCCGCCTGCGTATTCGGGCCATCTCGGTCTTGGAGGCACACTGTCTTACAGCGTCTTCCTCCCCAGGATGCAATCCGAAGACACGTCGTTCTCGAAAGCAGGCAACCCTGTGGAAGAGACCTTGCTCATCGTGGACGCGGCCATCTTCATATGCTCTTCATTAGGTAGCCCCTCGACCATCGCTTCGCTATCCATCTTTGTACTTGTTCTCACCCTCCCTAATGCTTCCTTTTCTTAACGTTTAGCGTTCATGATTTATGGAACGGCGATCTACCTGAGGCTGGTGCACTCCGTGCCCACCGCCAACCGCCGCTCACTGCTGAGGCGGATCCAAATCATGACCACGATGATTTCTTTCGGCTTCTGCTGTCGGGCCGTCATCATCCTGCTCAACGTCTTCGTCTTCCCCGACATGTCCGAGCGCTGGTGGTTCGACCTCGGTACCTCCCTCTTCCATCATCCCAGCCACAACCAACCAACCAACCACGCTCACCCCTCTCTTGTGGCAGCCTATTTCACGGCGCTGGAGTGGTTCCCGCTGTTGGTGATGCTCGGGATCCTGCACAAGGCCTCCAACACCAAGAAGACGATTCGGACGGTGCAGCCTGTCAACGCCACGAAGCGCAGCGTTCAGCACGGCTATGGCAGCAGCTACAGCAACAGCAACCGGACGAGTTCATCTGACAACGAGCACGCCGGGCTGCTCAACCCTTGAGAGGCGGGCGGCGCAAGCAGACGTGGCCATTGCGTTGCCGGCTCTCTCTTCTTTCTCTCCAGTTTTGACCACCTCCCCGACATGTAAATACATCGCAGAGCAATGTCACCATTTAAAGCACAAATCGCATTGTGATGATTTATTCCTGGCCCCAATGAAGAGGAGGAGATTCGGCGATGTGTTGGGCAAACGCTTGGCGCAGTAGTAATCGCTAAAGCGCTAACTGAGGTTCGAAATGAATCGAACATTCCCCTTATCTGTACAAAATTACGTGCTCGCCAGCGAATGATGCAACCTGTGGTCGGTTGCTTACTGCGAGTTCTCCTTGTCCATCGCCGAAAACTCAGACTTGAGGTTCTTGCTGAGAGATGAGGTGGTACGTTAATTGAGGGACTTCTCAGTTGAAGAGATGGCAAGACATACCGGCCAGCAGCCATCACAGCACGCTTGCTCAGATTCGACGAGCCGCCGAGCTGCTTCGTGCAAGGCGACACCATCGCGTCGGTAGGGCTCCTGTAGAGACTGCGAAAGACGTACATTTGAACTCAATTAGGCATTGAGCTTCCAATTCGAGATTCCATTCTGGCCGGCACGTACGCGGGGTTCTTGTTGAACTGGCTGAAGACCTTGGGGTTGGTCGGGGTGGAGGGAGGGTTCTGCTGAGCGGACGACATTATGTGTTGTTGAGAGATCGTTGGAGGCGGATGCGGTTTGAGGTGGAGGTTCAGCGGTTGGCGCTAGTTGTTGGTAACCAAAAAGAACGGTTGGCGTCGTGCTTTTTGTGTTCGAGCTCGCTTTCGCGCACAAACGCAACGCTCGAAAAAGCGCGCCAAAAGCCGTTGTGCCAAATTTTCATTTTTTCGTTTCCCTGACCCAAACGTAACGGGAAAATAATAACTCAGCATTCTGGGACGTCCTCTTGCTGCCCTCCCCGGCAGGTCGCAGGACGAAGCACGATCAAACTGCCCTCGTTTCCGCCACACCAACACGGAGGCAGGTTGGGTGTTCTTCTTCTAATTTGTTGGAGGTTGTTTTTTCGTGGTGGGGTTGAAAGGCTGTAGGCACCTTGTCCCAAGAAAGTGTCTCATGCCACACGCTATGGAGGTCGCACCTTCCCTTTTAGGCACCCTGGGGTTCGCATCTCCGTCCTAGTGCAAACGCCGGCGGTCATTGTGCCCGGTCGCGAAGACCGAGGGCCACCGGCGGTTCATAAAGGACGTGAGGAATACTTTTTCGCGGAGTGCCACCGCCCTTCTTGTACGGCCCGGCACCCCATTTTATTGTGGGACCCCACTCGAGTGAGCACGCATGCAGTCCACCGCCCCGTCCACAACACCATGGGGTGGGTCGAACTGAGACGTCTCTTCGTGGCTCATCTTTTTCTTTTCTATTCGACCTGACCGTCGACAATTAGAATTAATAAAATTAAATAAACATAAATATTAATTGGAAGAAAGCGAAGAGGAAGATGCAGATGCGGCCAACGAGGGTGTTGGCGGTGCTGGTGCTGGCGCTGGCGTCGGCGACGGCTTGGGCGTCGTTCGTGCCCGAGCCGACCGCTCCGGTTTCCTACGAGGGACAGCAGGTGGTGCGGTTCGACGTGCGCAGGGCGGAAGACCGCGCCAAGATTGAACGCTGGACGTCTGCTCGCGGCCTCGACGTGTGGGCGCGCCACCCGGAGTGGATTGACGTGCGTCTGCCTCGCTCAGTCGCCGCAGTCGAGGACGTGCCCCTGCGTGTTATGAGCAACGACCTGCAGCAGGACATCGACGCCGAGCGCGCCTCGGTCCTTGTACGTCGATCATTTTTTTGCTAATTTATGGTTATTTATTAATCGATTTGCTCATTTTTTGTTTATTTTATTTGACTTTATTTTTATTTCTTGTCAGGCGGCTGCAGGCAGAGAGATGACCGCGGAGAGCTTCTTCGACACTTACCGCTCGCTGGACGAGTTCAACCAGTTCCTCGACCTCCTCGCGACCAACTACCCCGACCTCGTCACCAAAAAGGTACCCTCTCGTTCCTCTTCTTGGTTTTAGCTCCGATCGCGTGCCTCTACTCTAACCTTACACCAACCGTCGGCGCAGACGATCGGCAAGACTGTGGAGGGACGTCCCATCAATGGCGTGCTGATCGCGTCGGCCAACAATACACGTACCTGCTCGCCGCCTGTCACGACGCTCTTTGGACCACTGTGGTGGAATGAAACCTGGGCCAACTCCGCATGCCAACCACACAGGGAAGGTCGGCATTGTGTACAACGGAGGCCAACATGCGCGTGAGTGGATCAGCCCGATGACCAACGCGTACATTGCCAACCAGCTCGTGTCCCTCTATGGCAAGGTAAGCGAGAGAGAGAGAGAGAGAGTGTGTGTGTAAGAAACGAAACCCTCCGAGACTTATGTGCAACCTCTCTGATATGAAATCCAACGGCGTAGGACGACGAAGTGACGAAGATGGTGGATGAGGTCGAGTGGACCATCTTCCCGGTGATCAACGCCGACGGTTACGTTTACAGCTGGACCACGGACCGCATGTGGAGAAAGAATCGGTATTACTCAGAGCTCTGTTTGGTGCTCTCTGCATGCAGTTGATTTTAATCTAACTTTTCTACGTGTGTCGTGTTTCAGCCGCCTGAACGAGGACAGCTGGTTCCGCTGCTATGGCGTCGACACCAACAGGAACTGGGCGTTCCACTGGAACGAGGGAGGAGCCAGCGGCGACACTTGCTCCGAAACCTACAGGGGTACGAGTCGATCACCACACTCTTTTGATTGTGATTGCGACCACTCCGCACTGGCTCATGCACACAACATTCATCTCGGCGGCGTTGCAGGCCCCAAATCCTTCTCCGAGCCCGAAGTGACCGCCTTGGCCGATTACATCTCCGCACAGGGCAACGTCAAGGGCTACGCCGATATTCATTCTTACTCGCAGCTGTGGATGAGCGTACGTGCCCCCGCCCCACACACCACTTCTTCATCCAGTGTTAATTTTTTGTGCCCACCGATTCTCTGCTTTCGCAGCAATGGGGCTGGACCACGGCGGAGGTGCCCAAGGACTTCACCACCCAGAACGACCTGTCCAAGTGTATGCTTGCCCGTAACACTTGTTAGTCCAACCCCCACAAAACTAACTCCGAGCGTGGCGTCGCTTTCGCTTTTTATAGTGGCTGTGGCGGCGATCAAGGCCACGCACGGCAAGGTGTATGGCTATGGACCCAGTGCCAAGGTGATCTACGTCGCCTCTGGTGGCGCCGATGACTGGACCTACGGTGCGCGCAACGTCACCTGGTCATACAGCGTTGAGCTCAGGGACACCGGTACGTCGACTCTAGGGTCCGGAGGACTCGTTTCGGGTTTGATCTCACGCACGCGCCTCTTCTGTTGCTTTTGGGTCTTTAGGTCGCTACGGCTTCGTGTTGCCGGCCAGCGAGATCGTGCCCACTGGGCAGGAGACCTTCGCTGCGGTGCGCGTGATGGCCAACTACATCCTCACCCACATCTAGTCGCATTACCTGATCCTACACTTTTATACGAACAAAAAAGGTTAGTAACTGTTTGCCACCTGGTGCAGTCAACACCCAGCCCACCACACAAGCCGGGCCGAAGTGAGAATTTCTGTCGACACCTGACACTTTCCTAAATGGGAATTCCCAACCGTCAAGGAGAAAGGAGGTTGGGCGCACGCGGCTGTGGGAGTCCACACGTACTCGCGCAGGGGGCTCAAACCCACGCCTCCTTGGTATTTCTCCGTCTCTTCGTCCGGATCAGCCTCATGATGGCTAAGTCAAGCTGAGGGATTGGTCGCACAGTGCGACGTAGCCCCTCTGGAATGTCAGGAAGGACATCTCATTCGCCCTTGGCTCGACGCCTCATGCCCTGGTGACCTCATCGGCCGCAGCATCGAGGTAGGCTATGTGCATTTCCCCTGTGTTCTCCTTCTCGTGGCTGTGCTTGCCGGGCAGCGCATGCCCCGACCTGGCCTTAAAAAGTGCCGTGTCCAACACCAGTAGCATCAACATCACCAACTTCACAAGCATCAACAACCTACAACTCTTTGGACAACCCAACTTCCAAGCTCATGGCTGCCTCCATCAACATCGCTCGCATCGCCTTCGTGCTCTTCGTCGCGGTCCTTTCCATGACGCCCAGCACCAGCGGACTCGACAGCTGTGCCTCCGCCCTCGAGCCCATCTTCTCCGGCGCCCAGGGCTATCGCTGCGTGCAGCTCACCATCACCACCGCCAGCGCCTCCACCTCTGCAGTACGGATTCCCCTTCAATATCTGACTTTGATAAGTGCACCGCAACTTACACTTCTGGCTTCCATCATGATCAGGTGTCGCACGCGCAGGGCAATGTCTACTTCAACCGCTACTACAACGGCCTCGTGAACAGGACTCGCCTTCGTTCGGCGTGCTGTCGAGCCTCAACGTCGGCTGCAACAGGGGCGCGGCCCAGCCCTTCAGCGCCGAGCAGGTGTCGTCGCGCATGGCCCAGAACGCGTTCGACGTCCTGGTGACCCGCGAGGGCGTGCTGCGGATGGCAGTCGGCTCGCAGATGTTCCAGAACGTTTCGCTCGGCTGCAACAACGGCGCCCTGCCGGGCGTGGGCTTCGACCAGTCCGGTAACGTGATCACCGCGCAGTTCAAGCTGTTCGAGCTCAGCGAGGGATGTCCCGCCAACATCGTCGGCTCCTCGTGCTAAGGAGTGGGGCTCTCAACACCCCCCCCCCCAAACCCTCTCAACCATCGATGATGGCACTGTTTACAACAGCGCACATAGGTGCTTTTTCCTCCGCCCGCCTCAGATAAAAATCATTCTTCTTTTCGCAGAAGAAGAAAAACGAGTTCTTTTTTCAAAAGGAAGAAGCAATGAAGAGAGCAAGAGAAGAAGAAGTCGTGGCCGAAGAGGAAAAAGGTGGTGAAGAAGAGGACGACAAAGCCCAGGGTGATGAAAAATCGCAGGGGCTGCCTGGGGTGCCTCCCCTCCCCTCTACTACACATATTGGGCGGGGAAGGGGCGGCAAGGGACTCGGCAAGTGGCGGAGGGTCGGCGACCCCGCGGCGGTCTCCCAACGACGCCAGGCCAGGCTGGCAGCTGCCGCCGGCCCACCACCTGACTACAACGCTGTCAAGCCGTTCATGTGGAGCCAGGTGGCCAACATAGGCGGCGGGGGCCAGATCGGCCACCTCACCGGCATCGCGGGCAGCATCAACTACTGCGACGAGGAGGTCGACGACGAGCTGATCGAAGAAGGCCAGCAGCTGCTGGGCGAGTTCGAGGCGGTGCCTGAGTGGTTCGAGCACGACGAGACATCGCGGACGAGACGCGACGAGGTTGAGCACGGATTCGTTACGTCGTGCGGCCCCCTAGAGGGCCAGCGCATGGCAGCGGTCGACGGCGGGGCCAAGCTGCGCGTGTTCTACTCCTCGCCCCTGCCTGCCCAGGCGCGATTCGAGATCACTTACCTCGCATTTGACGATAGTTCCATCGAGTATGCCTATCTGACGTGTGTGTGTGCGTGTGGGCGTGTCGTGTGGGTGTCGTGTTATGAGGCGTAGTACTAATGCTAAACATCATCGTCGTCGTCGTCGTCGTCGTCGTCATCATCGTGCGTGCAGGTACGCTTTTATGGTGGACCGACGAGATCGCGAGTTCGTGTTCGTGGGTGTGATCGGCGCCCACCCGCACTGTGGGACGGCTCACTTCTCCTACGACAACTCTGATGGCAGCGGACCCAATCTCTTCGAAGACGAAGAAGAAGAGGCGGGCGAGGAAGAGGAAGAGGAGGAAGCCGAGGCAGCGGCAATCGACCCAACAATGGCGAAGAAGGACCGAGTAGAAGCACCGAGCCCCGAGCAGCGTGTAGCCGCAGGCACCGCGTTCGTAGTGGCGCGGCTCCTCCCGGCCGCGAAGCTGCGCTTCCACGAGTTCTGCCACAACCTGTGGCATTGAGCGTTACCACGCAACCCTCGATTTCTCAAATAATACCGAGAGCGGCTGTTCGCTGAACGTCGAGTTTTAGTTCCCTCCCCCCAGGAGACCGAGAAGAGAAGAGAAGAAAGAACATAACTCGTCACGAAAGCAAAAGGAGAACGATATGGACCAGAGGCGATCTCGGCAGGTGGTGCGGGGTCAGCAGAAGAAGCTGAAGGACTCCAGGAAGTGGCGCTATGTCGAGGTCGAGTGCAAGCGCGACGACAACGAGGAACGAAGCGCCTGGACGACTCCGTGCAACCGCAAGTGGAACTCTTTCCTCCGCCAGGCCGACCTCCGCCGTCGCAAGGTTCAACCCCTTATTATTAATTATGTTTGTAAATTAAATATGAGAATTAAATCTGTCAATTATTATGATTACTTATACAAATAAATACAAATAAAATGGCTGCTGTAGTACTTTCTATTTTTTTGCATAAAAATACAAATTATGAGACTGATGAGATTGCTGGCAGGTGGCGGTGGAAGGGCTCATTCACGCCCTGCAGCATGAGCGGCCAACGCTAAGTACGTGCTGTGCGTGCGTGGGCTCAACCGTTTGAGCAGGCAAAAGGTGGATGATTCTGATCACTCATGTTTGCGTCTGTGTGGGACTGTGCCCATGCAGCATTTGATTGGCTGGAGGGTGAGGGCGTGACTGCGGAGGAGCGCCTGATTGAGCTGCGCCGGTGGATCGCCGCCCAGCTGCGGCCGGTCATGGCCCCACCATCAACCCCACTGCCCGCGGGTTGCGATCCGGTCGAGGCCCACGAAAGCGACGACGACGACGACGACGACGAACAAGACCACCAGAAGGAATACAGTGATGATGGCGGAGATGATGATGAAGATGACGACGACAATGGTGAAAGCAACGAAGATGACGACCAGCCGAGCAGGAACCGGAAGGTGAAGTCGAAGGGCGAAGACCTGGAGCTGGAGGTGCAGGTGGCCACCCTCCGACTGGTCTCGGCGCTCGCCGTGCTCTGCACCTGCGCCCACGCCCACCTCCTCCTCGGCTGCCCCACCACCGCCACTCCATCGGCTGCCACCGCGACCAGGGCGCCGCGCAACCCGAAGGGTAACCCCAAGGGCGGCAAGGCGGTGCCCGGCGTGATGGAGGTGCTCCATCGGGTGCTGACGTCGGACGCCGGCAACGCCGCGAAGCGGACCCGGCTGCGGGCGGAGGCCATGTACGCGCTCGCGGTGGTCTGCTTCGTGCTCGAGGACCAGGCTGTGGCCCTGGAGACGTGCGCGACGCTGGCCGGGCTCTACCTGGGCGACGTCCGGCAATTGGCCGCCAAAGACAACAGCGACGACGACGACGACGCTAATGATGACGACGATGATAGCGATGATGAAGAAGACGAAGAAGAGGCGATCGAGGATGACGATGGCGAAGACGATGACGAAGACGACGATGAATTCTCTATTGATGATAACTTGGGCGCGCTGCTGGTCGGCAGCGGTAAGAGCGAGGCGGAATACGCGGCCGCGCTGGGCACGATCGCCTTCCTGCTGAGCCTGGTCGATTCGGACAACGACGTGCGCGCCTTCATCGGCAGCCACAAGGAGGCCCTCATCAGCCTCTTCTTCCTCGCGGACCACCAGAGCAGCAGCCGTGGCTCCGACGTCGCCAGCTCGAGTCGGGTGCGCACGCACGCCGCCACCCTGCTCGGCGTTCTCTACCGCCTCAGCCGCGCCAACGACGACGGCGACAGCGACGGCGACGGCCTCGACGACGATGACGAAGTGGAGGAGGTGGATGAGCGCGAGATGTCGTTCGAGGGCAAGCGGCGGTTCGTGGAGCTGTGCGAGGCGAGGGCGCGGAGCGGTACGAGCGGCCGCCGCACACGCGGTGGGCCGGAGCGCAAGTGGGCGCGGCGCGAGGCCAGTTTCTTCCGCGCGCTCGCCGCGGAGCTGCGGGCCGACGACTACCGCCGGCGGCTCCACCAGGCGGCCGACGCCGATGAGCGGGAGGAGGCTGCACGGTGCAATGAGATCGTGCGGCGCGAGCGGCATGCGAGCCGGATCCTGACCGATTTGCACTCCAACGAGCCGCACTCGTTCAAGATCGAGGGCTGGCGTTGGGACCTGACCCTCGGGTTCCTGCGCAAGTACTTCCACCAGCACTTTGTGCACCTCTTCGGGGTACGTGTGTGGCTCGTTGACCCTGGAGTGTTAGCAGCGACTGATTCTGTCGTGTGTCGTATGTGCGTCGTGTGTCGTGCGTGCGTGTGTGGCGTGTGTGTGCGTGTGTGCGTGTGTGCCTGCGTGTGTGCGTGTGTGCGTGTGTGGTGCGTGCGTGTAGGGTCGGCCAGAGTTCAGACGGGCCACCAAGCAATTTTATGAGTCTGGGGAACGGAGCTGGGTCTGGCCCCAGATCTACGTGCGCAAGGTGAATCGGGACACACTCAAGGGCAGGAGCACCCAGACCAAACGGTAATTAACTTTAGCACACTGCACACACCGCACACACCACACATCGCACACACCGCACCCACACCGCATCGCACTACAGCGCTGCGCTCCCCCCCAACCAGGTTCAGGAAGGAGGTGGATCGGAACTGGACGAGGGGCAATCGCGAGCGCTACCGGGGCAACGGCGAGTACCGCTACGACCTGCGACAGGCCGAGCAGCGCCGGGGCCGCGCCGTCGAGCGCGAATGGCGTATGGCCAACGAACGCGGTCTCTGGTGAACAACAACCGACGCTGTGGTCGTATGAAGAAGGATTGTATGTATGTCATGGCCCAAGAAGAAGAACCACAGATCACAGCTTTGCCTTGTCCTTCTCGTTGTTGTGGAATGCCGCCCAGTCGGGCTTCTTCTTTTGGGCGAAGCACGACATGCCGTAGAGCGCCTCCTCCGAGTGCACCATCTTGCCAAACACCTTCTCCACCTACACGCCAACCAACCACCCGCTTTTAATATGCATGAATTTATAAATAATAAGAATAATTTATACAAATAAATATAAACAATAAATAATAATTAACAAATGTGTGCACCTCATTGAGGTTGTCCTCGTGCGAGTGCGATGAGACGTGGTTGACGAGGTGCTTGATGTCGGCCATGGCGGTGGGCGCGCTGGAGAGGAGCTCCTCGACGTACTCATTCACCTTGGCATCGAGCTCCTGCTCGTTCTCCACGAGGGCCGAGACGAAGCCCAGCTCGTAGGCCTTCTGCGCGCTCATCTTCTTCCCCGTGAGCATGTACTCCTTCGCCCGAAACGCACCTTGCATGTGAGATAGCGCCGCATACGCACACGCGCACACACACGCGCACACACGCGCACACACGCGCACACACACGCACAAGGTCAGCAATGTTTGCTCACATAGAGATCAGTAAAAGAACGAAGGAGAACAAAGAAGTACCGATTTGTGGGACGATGTAGGCCGAGATGATCGCCGGCACCAGGCCGCGCTTGACCTCGGCGAACCAGAACCAGGCGTCCTTGGTTGCCACTCGTATGTCGGCAGTGAAGACCAAGCCCCTTTTCAGCACCGCACACGCAGCACCGCACACGCACCACGGCACACACACATCAGACCACTGGTGGGAACGGGCCGAGGGCGAAGGTACCAGCCGCCTCCGAGCGCGGGCCCGTTGATGCGCGCGATGAGCGGCTTGGTGCAGTTGCGGAAGCGCTCGTAGAGTTCGATGGCGCCGGCCGGCCCGGTGCCCTGCTCGAGCTGCTGCGACATGTCGGCCTGGTTGCCCCCGCCCAGGTCCATGCCGGTGCAGAAGTAGCGGCCGCTCCCGGTCACCACGATCACTCGCACCTCTCGGTCCGACTCCAAACTGCACAGATTTATTTAATAATTCATATTTGTGTTTATTCATTTATTTGTGTTTATTATTTTATTTATTTGTAAACAATATACCATTAATATTGTGAGGGGAGGTACTGGGTGAGGGCGCGCTTTATTTCGGCAGACATGGTGAGGGTGATGGAGTTGCCCCTCGTGGGACGCTCCAGCGTGATGGTGCCCCGATGATTGGCCACCTCCACCTTCAGCTCTCGATATGCTGCAGCCATGGCAGCCAACTAAATTTATAAATAAATAAATAAATAAATAAATAAAATACAAATACAAAGAAAAGTAAAGGCGCATGTTTCGAATTCTTTAGTGGCGGCCACAGGAGTGGTCGCCGCCGCCGGCTTCAGGGCCTTCACCGGGTCGGGCCGGCGCGATTTCGTTGCCGTTGTCGTCGACCACCTTGAGCTCGCCGACCGAGTGGGCAAACTCCTTGAGCGAGAACTGGGCGCTGCCACGCTCCTTGGGCTTCTGCTGCGACTCGTGCGGACACCACCCGATCATGTACACCACCTGAAGTGTGTCGCGTGTGGCGCGCGCGTTCAATGTAAAGGCAATGATGGTGATGAAGGCACACGGGTGGTCGATGATGGCGGTGGGACCAACCTGGAAGGTGGCGGGTACTCGCCCGTCCTCCTTGCCGTAGAGGGCCTTGTACGCGGCCGCAGCGGCGTACATGGTGCTGCGGGGCACGTAGGGCCGCCGGAAGTGCTGCGCGTTGCTCTCGCCCATCCCTCGCAGGTCGCGCATGAGCGTGAATGCATCGGCAAAATCCACCACCACCTCCTCTTGATCAACTGCCATTACCCAGAGCAGCAGCAACAGCAGCGCGTTAGGTGTGTGTGGTATGTGTGTGGTGTGTGGTGTGTGGTGTGTGTGTGTGTGTGTGTGGATAGAAAGAAGAGAGCGTACTTGTGGGGAGCGCAAACTTGGCCCGCGTCAAGAGGTCCCCGACATCCGACACACCGGCGAAAGGCGAGACATGATTGGAGATCCCTCCGTCGCGGTCCTGCTCGGCCACCAGGAATGCATTCCTGAGCTCCCACAGGGTCTCTTCGCCGAACATGGAGGCCAGGAAGAGACCGTCGGGCTTGAGTACGCGCCGGATCTGGGCCAGCACGCCCGGCAGGTCGTTGACCCAGTGCAGCGCCAGGTTGGAGATGACCAGATCGAAGGTGCCCTCCTCGAAGGGAATCAGCTCCTCGTCGGCCACCACGCGCTCAGGTTTGACTGCGTTCACGACACACACGACACACACGACACACACGACACGACAGGTTACGTCACGTCAGAGCCAAGACAGACCAAAGCACACGCGTGCTCACAAAGAAAGCCAACGCACTCGCAAGATCGGCGTCCAAGTGTTGATCTCGAGCAAGACTGAGCGCTGGATGGTCGAGCAAAGCAGTGAGTGAGCGACTGGCGGCGGGCGGGCGTGCGTGCGTGACAAATGGGAGCGCTGTGCGTACGCGAGGAGTCGAGCTGTACAATCCTCTTGACGCCGGGGATCTCTTGCAGGTGCTCGGCCACACCGGCCGCAGCCCCGCCCAAGGCCAGCACCGACGGGAACTCCCTGTCCAATATGTCCTGCGCCAACACAAGCTTTGTCAGCTGCGCTTTGCAGTGCAGAGAGGAAAGAAAGAAGAAGAAGGAGAAGAAAGATGGCGTACGTTGAGGCGATCGGCAAGACGTGCGGCGATCTCCTTCCTGAGGTAGTCGTAGTCCTGCGACTCGGGGTCGGCGGCGGCACGGTCGCGCTGCAATCGCTTCACATGTCGATTGAACACGTTCATCGCACGCTGCTCCTCGGCGCTGTCTGAAGATGAGGCGAGGCCTCTCTTGCTCCACGCCATCGTGACGGGTGCAGCCGCCAGTCTTGTGGTGGTGCAGCTGATGCGGTTGCATCCCTCTGCACTTAATCTTCTGATTTGGCCCCGCGCAAAGGGAGATGATGCGCTGAAAGCGCCTGGCAGACGTGATCTTGTGTTCGCTCGTTGGAGCACAGCAGCCCTCCTCATTCTGCTCTCGGTGCTCTCAGGTCTGAGTTTGGTTTGAAAAAGAAATGAATGAATTAAAAGAAAAAAAGAAACCAAATCAAACACTGCCGCAAGAAGAAGGCAAGATAAACAACGGCGTAGATGATGGAGGAGGTGGCGTCAGACTCGTCGGTGGTCAGCGAGGTGGTAGAGATGGCTGAAGAGGACGAGGAGGAGGAGATCGAAGAAATCGAGGAGGAAATAATGGAAGAAGAAATCGAAGAAATGGAAGAGGAGGTCGAGGAGGGGGCTGAAGAAGCCTACCCCACGATCAGTTACAAGTCCAAATCAAGCGTTGGCAATACCGCATCATCCACATCAACACAGAAATCACCAAAATCTTCGTCGGCTACCCAACGCTCGCCATCGACAGCCGTGACTGCCAAGGCCTCATCCTCATCTTCTACGACGATGCTGGAGGGCTCCAACATCCACTTTTCGGCCGATGGCAAGAAGCTGTGCAGTCACAGCACCAAGGTGTGCAAGCAGCGGCGCATGGAGGGCCGCGGCTTCTGCATCAAGCACATCCTCGAGGACCCCACCTCGGGCTTCCAGCAGTGCGAGTACCTGTGCAAGAAGAAGGGCAACCGCCGCTGCACCAACCCCGTCCCTCCACCACACGACGACGTGTACGCCTGCTTTGGCTTGCGTTGTGTGTTGTGTGTCGCGTGTGTGTTGTGTGTGTGTGTGTATCTGTGTGTCTGTGTGTTGTGTGTGGCTGACATTGCGCGTGTGCGCACGCACGTGAAGGGTGTACTGCTCGCACCATCGGCAGATCCTGGGGCTGCAGCCGCGCACGGCGGCCAAGCGCGGGCAGGGCAAGGCCGGCGGCGCCGGCGGCAAGTCGCGGGCCGACCTCCGCTCCAACAAGGGCGCCCACACGGCGCTCATGAGCGTGCTGGCCAAGCACGGCATCCCCGAGAAGAGCCCCAAGCGCAAGGGCGCCACCACGCCCAACGCCAAGAAGATCAAATCCGAGTACTACTCCATGCGCCGCGCAATCGTCTGTTATCGACTTCACCTCTAATAACTCGTGTCGTGTCGTGTCGTGTCGTGTCGGGGCTGCAGGGAGACACAGTCGGCAGGTGCGGCTGAGGAGGAGGAGTCGAGCGACGAGTTCCCGTCGGACGAGGAGGAAAACGGGGAGGAGGCCGATGTGGAGAGCGGGTCGGAGGACGCGATCAGCGACCTCGATCGCGATTACGACAACGACGCCTTCATTCCCGACAGCTTCCTCTGGCACCTCGAGCACGACAGCGCCCCCGAGTCCGATCCACTGCAGTACTACACCACCCATTTTGCTTTCCGTGCCCGCGAGTGTTTTTGACCGCACGCAACACGCAACACGCGCGAGGTCCTGATGGTATGCGGCCGCGTGTGCAGGGACCAGCAGGTGCTGACCGAAGAGGAGCTGCTCCAACGACGCAAGGCGAAGGTCCTCAAGCTGCTTCAACTCTACAAACTGCAGTACTATCGCCTCCAGGTACCTATTACACGAGCGGTGCGTGCGGCTGGATGTGGATGGAAGGCCAACACGGGGCTCTACGGTGTGTGCGACAGGACAACCTGCAATCGACGTACGAGCTCTACAACAAAAAGGTGGCGCTGGAGCGGGAGAAGATGGGCCTGGCGGGCGAGGGCAAGCGACATCATGGAAAGGGCGTGATCGACAAACGCAACAAGCCAAAGCAGGGCCAGAAGCAGGTTCGCTGTGTGCATTGTGTGTGTGTTGTATGTGGTGTGTGGTGTTGGACGGCGGGATTAACGATTGGGTGGCGTACAGGAGGATCAGCTGCGAGCGCTGTACATTCACTCGAAGGAGGCCAAGGTCAAGCTGGACGACACCATCGGCTACTGCCACGTGCCCGAATGTCGGCTACGAGCCCTCGCCCCCTCCGACTTCTGCCGCACCCGTACCACCTCTCCTTCCGCACTTTCTCTTCTCACCGCGCACGACACGACACGACACACGACACACGACACGACACGCTCATTCGATTTCCTGTCAACAGACATCTTGCGGGACCCGCAGCAGCAGCTGTACATCGGGTGCACCTACGCCAAGGGCGAGTGGCACGCGGCTCGCGGGCACACGTGCGGTCAGCCCATCCTGCGAACGACGCAGCCGCCGCTGTGCGACGCGCACATGGACGCCAGCGCCGAGCAGCAGGAGCTGGCCGCCGCGCTGGCCTCCCACAAGAAGAAGAACAACAACAAGAAGCGCAAGGCGAGCCAGCTCCTCGAGGAGCGGGACAAGGACAAGGCCCGCGAGCGCGAGAGCAAGACGTCGGCCAGAAAGAAGTCCGCCGGCAAAGGAAAGAGGAAGGAGACCAACAACAACATCAACAAGACGGCGACGGCGACGGCGGACTGGATGGGGATCACGAGCCAGAACGCGAGTCAGTTCCCGCTGGCGCTGGTGCTGGCCAAGGTGGACCACAACGTGGGCATCATCCAGGAGAAGCGAGGCCTGCTGCTCGACGAGGAGAACAAGAGGCGGCAGCAACAGCAGCAGCAGCAACAAGAAGACTCAGACGACGTAGAGGAAGAAGCCACTGCTGCCTCGTGATGACGCAGGCCTTGTCTTGTTGCCCTTACAAAGCAAGCCATCTATTTGCATTTTGTTTGAGTGATGATGATGTGGATGATGACGCAGCTTAGAGGCAGTCGTCGGCGGCCATGGAGTCGAGGTCGTGCTTGAACTGGAGGGAGACGTTGATGGTGCGTTCGATGTGGGCCTCGGTGAGGCCGCCGTCGCCCTCGGTCTGCGCGAGCGAGAGGGCGAGGCGGATCACTGTGCGGATCTGGCGGCCGTTGAGCTCGAAGGCGGCGAGCTTCTCGAGGTCGAGCCGGGCCTTGGCGAGGTCGACCGAGGCGGCGTCAAGCAGGTTGGCCCAGATCTTGCGGCGCGAGGCGAAGTCGAGGTCGCTGTACTTGAGGGCGATGCTGATGCGGCTGTGGAAGGCCGAGTCGAAGGACTTGACCCGGTTGGTGGTGAGGAAGAGCACGCCCTGGTGGTACTCGAGCAGTCGCAGGAAGATGCCCACCATCGCATTACGCTTGATGTCGTTCTCCGACCGACGCTCCAGGAAGACTGCAGGCACAATAGAGTTAGAGCGAAGAAAGAAGAACGAAAGCGAGCAAGAAAGAGCGAAGGAGAGAGTGGAGGTACTGTCGGCTTCGTCGATGAGGATGACGGCGTCCCAGGAGCTGGCTACCTCGAGGATCTCCTTGAGGCGGGCCTCGAGCTGGTCGGTGCTCGTGCCGAGCTCGCCCACGCTCACCGAGTAGAGCGGGCGGTGGAGCAGTTCGGCGATGGCCTCGGCCGTGAGGGTCTTGCCCACGCCGGGCTTGCCGTGCAGCAGGAAGATGCATCCGCCGCCCTTGCCCGAGATCACATCGCTGAAGGCGGCCGTGCTGTTGTTGGCCACCAGCGACTTGATGAGGGTCTTCTTCTCCTTGGCCAGCACGAGCCGATCGAAGGCCTTGTCGTCGAACACCACGTCGGCCACATTGTCCACGATCACCTCGCCCCACTTCTTGGCCGTGAAGCTGAACCCGGGCAGCGTGGGCCACGTCATCCACAGCTGGTCCTCGCTCAGCTTGGCCAGATCGGCGCTCGTCCTGAACGAGCTGTACTCCGTGAACTCCTCATAGCCCGGGTTGATCCTGTGTCAAGAGAGTAAGTCCACCGCACACACCGCACACACGCACACACTGCACCCTACACGCACCTGTTGAAGGAGACGCCGTCGATCATGATGCGACCGTCGGCCTTGTACTTGTGCACGCACCAGCCGGTGCGGAAGAGCATGTGGCCGCTGTAGACCTTGTAGTGGGCGCCGAGAGCGAGGGCCTGGAAGAGCTTGCCGCGAGCGGTGAGCTTGGCCTCGAGCTCGTCGGTGAGGATCTGCACCGGCAGGTCCTCCAGCTTCTTGGCTCCGGCGAACATGGGGATGAAGAACTGGTGGTCCTTGTTGAGGTACGCTTGGCCCGATGACTTGACCACCTGTTCATGTGCAGCATTGAGTGGAGCGTGAGCTCAACTTCACACGACACACACACAACACACAAACACAAACACACACGACACAAACGACGCGGAACATTGCGCACCTTTGCGGTAATGAGGAGCCCAGGGAAGAATCCGCGCATGTACTTGGCGGTCTTGACCTCGCCCGCGATGAGAAGGCCCGCGTCGGTGCCCCACACCTTCTTGCCGGTGTTGAAGAGGAACCAGAGGGCGTTGTAGGAGATCTTCTGCTCCTGGAGCATGCGCTCGATCTTGTCGTTGGTGCCCTTGTACCGCTTTTCCAGCCACGCCACCAGCGGCTCCAGCATCTGCTGGTAGAACGAGTTGCTGTTCGACTTGAACTGCGGCAGATGGCACTGTGTAGAGTTGGGCGGCCAGAGAGCCAGCCGGTGAGGGTCTTGCATCTAGCAACAGTCTGTGGAGGGTTGCTAAAGATGATGGTGGTGTGGAGGACGTACGAGTAGAGTCTCGGGGTCGACTTGCGGGCGGTCCTCGTAGAAGGTGTCGTCTGAGGCGAACTGATTGATGGCGCTACGCAAATCGTGGTCCTCGATCGTGAGAAGCGTTTGCTCCTCGAACTCGCCGTCGCACACCTTTACCATCTTCTTGGTGACGGAGAAGCCCTTGAGTTCGCCAGCGTCGTCTTCCTCTTCCTTCTTCTCATCCTTCTCCTTCTCCTGAGCCGCCACCTCCTGCTTCTTGTCGAGCTGCGATTTGGTGAAGCCCGCGAGCTGCTCGCCGTCTTCGACGTAGTCGGCAACCTCGTCTTCGGGCAGAAGTGTAGCGCCGTCGGCATTGGTGAGCTTCACCAGCTCCACCTTCTCGCCCACAGCTGCACTCAGCCTGCGGCTCGCATCTTCCAACAATCGCCCGACCATGTAGCTCCCCTTTTCTCTCATTTCATCTTCACTGGTGCCGGCAGGCTTGATGAGTACCATTACTGCCTCCGACTCGGAGGTCAGAGGATTGTTGTAGGTGACCGTGATGCGCATTGTGGTTGGTATAATAAGGATGAGAATTCGAGTCTACAAGACCAAGTCGTGTAGTCGTGTACAAGTCGCACATGGCCATTCTCTGATCCCTGATATTTTTTTGGCTGCAGCCTGAAGCGAAAATGAATACATGAACAAAAAAACAAGGAAATGACCTCTTTCTTTCCCTTTTCTGTCTCTTTCTGGTGGGGGCGTCTCTTGGCTGTACGTCTCTTCTTAGCCCTCCACCTCCAGTAGTATCCACTAACCTTTTGTTCTAGGTTCTTGCCAGAGAGAATAGATTGGTAGAGATGGAATTTTAGGTATTATAGAGCAAAACAACTAGGGGTGGGTACAGAGACAACAACAAGCTCCTCCCAAAGCACCAGCAGCAAGCATGGACTGCAGGCCATGTGCTGCAAGACTGCAAAAAGGTGCTCATTTTGCAATGAGAGGTCAAAAATGACCATGGGGATGTGACTGAGGAGCCATCCTCAACAACTGATCACCCTAACTTGGGTGTGCTGTCAGGACATTTACCAACTCAGATAAGTCCTGCTGGAATCACTCAAGTTTCAGTGGAGGAAGACAACTTGACAGGCGACATCTGGGTGAGAATTCCTGATCCCTATCTATTTGAGTGGCCAGTGCATTGAGCCCAGCAACATTCAAACTACAGACCAACACCTCCACCCAAGCCACAGATGACGGCCAACGTTCATGGACCGGAAGTGACGGTCCCCCAGCTCTTTGCGCCTGCGCTGGCCAAGGCGAACCAGTGGCTCTCAGACATCCGAGCGCAGTGCGACCTGCACGACCTCCACCAGGCCTACACGCTCCTGCGCGCCGTGTTCTTCACCATCAGGGACTGGTCGGGCGTGCTCGACAACATCAGCCTCACCGAGAAGCTGCCCATGCTGCTCCGTGGAATCTACTACGAGGGCTGGAAGGCAGTCGAGCCCCGTGATGAAGGTACATCTCTAGTTCAACAGATTCTGAAGAAGAAGAAGAAGATTGAATTGGGTCCGATGTTGTAGTGCGAACGATCGGCGACTTCTACGACACGATCAAGTACCACCTGGGCACCACCCCCGGGCCGCTCGCGGACAACCTGGAACTCAACACCATCAACGCCCTTCAAGGTACTCATCACAGTGAGTGCGAGGGCTGCATGATGACGGAAGATGGTGGCTCACGCCCACTCGTTTCAGTGATCCGGGTACACCTGCCGCAGGGAGACTTCAAGAAGGTGATGAACGCGGTGCCGGAGGACATGCGGAAGCTCGTCAGTCTGTCGACCCTTCCGACTGCCAGGCAGACCACCCACGCCGGAGCCTAAGTAGTGAGGGCCTCACGAAAACCATACATCGGCTGGAGGGCTCTTTGTTCATAGTACAAGTGGGCTACGTCACGCTTGCTCGCGCGTTCACAGATAAATGTCGGCAGCAAAATCATACGAAGACTTGGCGCGCAGGTCTGTGTGAATCCACGATCATCAGTCAGTCGGTCGTTGTGTGTGTGTGAGAGATCGGGTACCCTTTTTCTTTCTGCTGAGCTGCATCAAATCCAGGCCGCCACGTCGCTCACGTGTTCGTGGCGCTGTTGTTCACGAGAGATGTTAGTAGTGAGCTGACCGCAAGAGCCGACGCCCACATTCGAGGCTGGCGCAAGGTGGAGTGAGAAGGACAGTACCTCCTCTGTGCTGCTTTTTGAGGCGCAGGTTCTTCGCCTTTTGGTTCTTCATCCACTGTGTGCCCCGGGCCTCCTTCAAGTTACAGACCCGGTCGTACTCCTCCTCCTTGGCGGCCTCTTCCTCGCGGTAGTTCCTGCGTTTGTAGCGCACCTCCATTCGTTTGAACTTGCGGTCCCGCTTCTCCTTCTTGCGGTGGACCACTTCGCGGAAGTGTTGCCTCGACTGCTTAGCCTGCTTCTTGCGTCGGCGTCGGTTCCGATTGGCATCCAGCTTCGTCTCTGCAGACATTGTCAATGTCTGTGATGCCACACGCACACGCACACACGCACCCGACACGCACCCGACACGCACCCGAAACGAACGCAAGGCACTCTGCAACCAGAAATCGTACCGGCGGGGAGAATCTCAGCCAGCTTCCTTGCCTTGGGGTGCTTCACAGGGCTCGGTTTCGCCCACGAACCCGGTGTTTGCTTGGGCACAGCTGCTGTGATGGGTGTTGGTGACCAAAGCCCATTTCGCCCCGATCACGTTGCGGCAAGGGGGATATGGGAAGCTTCTGTACCTGCTCTGAGAGCGCCATGGAGCATCTTGATAACGCGTTGGCCGTTTACGACGTAGGTCTGCTCTCGGGTGGTGTGGCTCTTTGCGAAGGGGGCCAGCGCCGAGCGGAACACTTCCAGGAATCCGATGCGGAGCAATTCATCGATCACTCTCTCTCGGACTGACACGACCGAAGCAAAGGAAGACGTCAGACCCACGCACGCACGTACGTACGCACACACACACACACACACACACACACACACACACACACGGTGTTGAAGCATAAACGACTTGATGGGATGAAGTACGAGAGGATTTGATGGCGTGTTCGGCCAACCGACCCGCGGATAGCAGCAATCGGGGCTGGTGCGGGTGCTGAGCAATCGAGCACACCATCGACGCGACGAACCCTTCCGTCAGCGCCAAAGCGAGGTATCGGTCGGCACTCTCACGAGCGGGGCCTGTCAAAGAAGAGAGAGAAACGAAGAACGGATGGTGCATCAGCCAACCTGTCTACACAGAGGGCAACCACAAAGGTTGGGCGAGCCTACCAGGAGCTTTCCTCACGGCCGCCGAGATATGGAGGACAACGTCCACGCACCGCGACGCGATGGCGACATCTGTGGATTGCGTTCGCATTATCTCTACGAGCGCACGGACCAGACGCGGCTGTGGCAGCGATGGATATGCTGTGTGTGTGTGTGTGTGTGTGTGTGTGTGTGTGTGTGTGTGTGTGTGTGTGTGTGTGTGTGTAGGTGCGTGCGTCGTGGTGTGTGTGTGTGTGTGTGTGTGTGTGTGTGTGTGTGTGTAGGTGCGTGCGTGATCAGCCTGTGACTATGGTGACCGTAAGAAAAAGCGAAGGACGGGCATGTACCTGAGTTGTACATTGCGGGCAGGGCCTTGAGCACGTTCTTGACCGTCATGGCGTCGCTCGGGTAGGCCCATAGGCAGCGATACATGAAGTCGCGCCATTCCTGCTCACTCAGCTCTTGGGCCACTAGTGTGGAACCACGAATGTGAGGAACGTGGGCGTGTGGTGGTCCTCGTAGGTGTGGATTGGTGGAGCGCACGTTCTATCCTGAGCGACGGCTGCACCAGGCAGTGGGACAGCTCGCGCACCAGGCTGATGCCGTGATTGACGACCTCGCGGTGGTCGAAGTGAGCAGTCATCAACTGCAGAACCTGACCGAGGTAGGGTATGGCGCGCCGGACCATCGAGCTCCGATCGTGGGACAGCAGCGAGCCCGTCAGGTTGTACCCGCGGTGGTCCTCCTGGTCGCTGCCGTCCCCACTCTCGCGGTAGGACTTCGCCTTGTGCCGTTGCTTCTTCAGAGCTGACGTCGATGCAGCCGGCTGTTCGGGAATTGCGAACTGTTGCATGCCGCGTCGTGCGGGTCTTGGGCGCCGGCGACTCCTCTCCACCCTGGGCCTAAAGTTCCACCGTCCTCCGTAGTAATCATTCTTCGTATCGCCTGCGATACACGGTAGTAGTTAATGAATTGCTTCGGAAGAATGATTGCTGCGCGGCTGCAGCCTGTGTTGAGCTGTGGCTATGTACGACCAGACTTATGAGTTGGGCCGTACCGTTGTGGAGGCGGCCGCGTAGGAATTCGAGCCATCGAGCGCAGAGGTCCGGGTCGCGCGTTGTCTCGGACGACTCGAAGGTCCACGCGACCGTGTCCTGGAACGAGGTCCAGTTGCACATCACCCTCAACTCTGGATAAGAACCTGATGACGATGATGATAATGATGATGATGATGACGATGAGCAGTCAACATTACTGTGGTGTGCCCAACACTGTGGCTGGTAGTGGTGGAGAGATGTCGTACTCTTGATTGCCATCAGGTCACCCTCGGTGAACGCTCGGTAATTCTGAATTAGGTTGACTTGTCGCAGACTCGGAAGCCGGCCCTGGTCTACGCAAACAGCCGTTAGGAAGAAGCAGCACCAGCACCCGATCGCACCACCACCTGAGGTGCAGAGACGACTTACCGAGCAGTTTTTTCGGCGCCTTGGAGGCCGCGGTGTTGGAGAGGTCGAGCAGTTCCAGGTTGTGCAGATCTGGCGCACCATCGTCATCACCGTGAGCGTGAGCACTTGTGTGTTAAGAAGGAACGGGGCATGGAAAAGCGGGTAGCTGTGGAAGGTGTACTGGTCAGGAACATTGTTAGCCCGTAATCGCTCAAGTCGGTGCCCTTCAAGTTGAGTCTCCGCAGCCGCGTCAAGCCTGCGTGTGGGAAACCATGAGCCTCCGTTAGGTCCTGAACGCACTCCCTTTGGCCTGGCTGTATGTACTTTGCAAACCCTCCAGGGATTCGTCGGTCATCCGAGAAACATTGGCCAAGTCCAGGTCTTCCAGTTGGGTCAGACCTGTAGAGCACAACAGTAACAACCGATCGGGGTCAGTGTGCGATTCACACTGTCTCGACCGGAGCTCTTCTCTTCAAAACACAGGGTGGTCGTAGTACCGGCCAGGCGGCTGGTATCCCGGAGCCAATTTGACATGGAGGCGTTGAGTCGCACTAGCGAGGACATCTGGTCTACGTAGTCCAGCACGAGCGGCAGCAGATCCACGCTCGAGATGTTCAGCGCGCGCAGCTGCGTCAGCTTGGGGAGCGCCCACAAATCGCCACGAAGACCTGATGGCCACCCATGTGGGTGCCGCACAAAGCCAAGGCGCCCGGGCGGTCAGCGCTAGCCAAGAGAATGTCATCGAGAGAGACCACGGGCGGGCGCACCTCGACAACGCGAGATGTCGAGCGAGGTGAGGCTTGAGCTCAGCCCAGCCAGCAAGTTCGCGTGGGCGTCCTCGACGCGAGAGCGGCTGAGATTGAGCTCTGCCAAGCCAGTCAGACCTGACACACACACACAACACACACAACACACACAACACACACAACACACACAACACACACACAGAGTCAGTATCACTAGGGACGCCATTGCAATTAGAATACGTTAACGCTGTCACGCCGTACCAGCGATCGACTTCATGTCGGCGAGGCTCAGGTGGTGCGGGTAGCGGCGCAGATTGAGCGACGTCAGCCCGCGCATACGTGCGATCACCGGACCCACGCGTCGGCAGTCGAGCGCCTTCTGCCCCGACAAGTCCAGCCTGGCGACGTGCGCAAAGCGGCTCAACACCTTGAGGCCGGAGAGGGCGAAGCCCATGTTGTGTAGCAGCATGTTGGGTCCGACGTGGAGCTCGGGCGAGAAGAGGCGCATCAGGCGCCGGTCGCACACGCGCCGACGGCACACCAGGGCGAGCAGGGCGGCCTGGACGTCGAGCGGCAGCGTGTCGAGCGCGGCGCAGCTGGTGATGTCCCGCACCACCAGGTCCACACAGCGCCAAAGCAGCGACCGCACATGCCCCCGCTCCTCCTCTTCAACCGGTAATATGCTTTCCCACAGCGCACCAGCGTGTGCCTCCATCGTGGTGGTGAAAAAATCGAGTAAAAGAGTGCTGTGTTGTGTGCATCGTCACCCGCTCGGTTGTACTTCAGGCTTCAGCGAACAGAGGCTGACGTCACCTCCTCTTCATTTTTTCTTATTGTTCGAACACTGCTGCAGTTTTCGAACAATGTGTTTTATCTGCAGTTTCATTTTTCAAACTGTTTCGAAAAAATTACAGGTGTTGCAAATAATTTCGAAATGAATTGCAAAATAAATGAATCAAAGAAGCCTCAAACACAAAGATGGCGGAGGAAGGACAGAGAGCGGTAGCGGATCAGGAGGGGTTGAAGGAGGAGACGCTGCCAACAGCGGAGGAGGAGGCGAAAAAGGACGAGGCGCCGGGGCAGGAAGAGCACGACATCATGTGCGGCGCATGCGGGCAGATTTTGAAGCGAAATGCCTACAAATTTTGCGTACGATGCGGCGTGAAGCTCAATCCAGAGAGCGTCTGGGATGCGCAGCTGTGCAATTCGACGCACGACACGCCCAACATCGCCCGGGTGCGCCAGGAGATGATCGGCCGAGGGGTGAAGGTGGTGATTGCCGACGGGCGCATCTTTGTCGGCCGATTCCTGGCCTTCGACAAGCAGCGAAGCATGATCCTCTCCGAGTGCCGCGAGTATCGAAGGGTGAAGATCGATGACGACGGACCGGGTATAGCTTCTTCTTTCTTTACCGGACGCTCGTTGATGACTTGGTTGGTCTTCTGATTGTGTGTGTGTGTGTGTCGTGTGTGTCGTGTGTGTGTGTGTGTGTGTCGTGTGTGTGGTGTACACGCAGAGAAAGAAGAAAAGCGCAACGCAGGGCTGATACTGATCGGAGGCAAGTTCATCAAGTCTGTGCACTGGGCCAAGCTCACGGAAGAGGGCAAGCAGAAGCTGAAGGAGGAGGAAGAGGAGCGACGGCGGAAGGAGGCCGACGAAGAGCGAGAGGCCGCTGCCGAGGAGGCCAAGGCTGCGGCCGCAGGCGAGCTGCCGGTGTAAGCGAGCCCAGCAATGTTGGATGCGGCACAAGGCCAACAACAAGTCTCCCCCACCCATCTATCTCGGCGCACCACTTTCCACTTGTAGTCTTTGTGTGCAATTGGATTCAACCGAACTCGCTTCGGCCGAACTCAGCAGGCCTCGGCATAATCGACCGAATCGAGTTCGGTCGAATCCGCCTGCTGTCTGTCCTCGACCAATGAAGCAAAGTGCCAGCAATCCATCGAAGCCCACATAAAAAGCCGTTTGCTCTGCTCTCTCGTCACTCACTCTTCAGCTCCTCTTTGCTCCAAGCAACAAGACCAACCATGACCAACCTCAATCGCCTGCTTCAGCTGTTGTTCGCCCTGGCCCTGACCTTCGTCGCTGTGACCTTTGTGCCTCCTGCACTGGCAACCACCACCGGTGGGTTCTTCGACACCACGTGTCACGAGGTGCCGTTCACGCCTGAGGGCCTGGCCAGGCTCGAGCCCATCAAGGCCGCCAACCTGGGCACCTTCAACTGCTCGGGCTCCTTCACCTACTACGACCCGTCGACCGGCCACGTGACGGCCACCATCGACGTGCCCTGGTTCAACCAGTCCACGCTCTACGAGCCCTCGTGCGGCTGCTGGGTCACCACCAGCTTCGCCTTCGGACCCACCCTCCCGCCGCTGGTCATCCGCGAGTACGGCAACGCGCTGCCGGGCCGCGCCGAAGAGGGCACGTGCCTGGAGTTCGACTGGCCCGAGGACGACGGCAACATCACCCAGTCGATCGCCTTCGGGCGCAACATGCACTTCAACGTGCACCGCGACCTGCCCTACCTGCGCCAGAGCGACGGCACGCTCACGCGCCACCAGTCGTTTTATCGGGTGGCCGGCACGCAGAACGAGCTCGTCGTGGTGCGCAAGTTCAACGAGGCCGGTTACATCGACTGGATCGAGAACCTCGTTTGTCTCATGGTCGAGCCTCAGCTCTTGTGATGCTCCATCATCGCCGCGATGCTCGGGCACCCCAATGCCCACCCTGCAAGGCTTTTTATACTCAAATAAAGTTGGCGATTCTTTCATGGTTTCACTGTACATCAGGCGGGCTGCGTTCCGCCGGAAGCGGCGTTGTTGCCACCTTCGTTCTGCATCTGCTCCATGAGGGTGGCCCAGTTCTCCACTTCGGCCTGGAGGGCGTCGATCTCGGCGTCTCGCGATTCGATCTGCGCCAGCGCCCCGCGCAGGTCCTCCTCGACCTTGGCCCGCGCCGCCGACTCTCGCGCCAGGTCTGCTGTCAGCCTCTCGTTCTCGCGCCCGAGCGCCTCAAGCTCCTCGACCACCGCCTCGAGCTCCTCCTCGAGCCGCTTCACCAGCTGCTCGAGCTCCCTCCGCTGGGCCGCCTCGTCGGTGTCCCTCGCTTGCTCGGTGAGCTCGGCCAATCGCGCGTCCCGGTCGGCTGCCTGTCGCTGCCGCTCGGCCTCGCGCTCGGCCAGGCGAGCGGCGTCGCTGGCGGTGTCGGCCTTGAGCAGTCGCAGCTCCTCCCGAAGCCCGTCGCGTTCGCGCGCCCACTCGCTCTCCCTGGAGGCCCGCTCGCCCTCGGCTTGGCCGACACGCTGGGCGTGCTCGGCCTCGGCGGTGCGTTGGGCGTCGGCCAGCTGTCGCTCGCGCAGAGCCCACTCCTCGCTCGCCTGCGTGTGCGCGGCGGTGAGTTCCGCCACTTTAAGTTCCCACGCGGCCTCTTTGTCCGCCTCTTGGGCCAGCAGCTCGCGCTCACGCTGCTGCCATTCGCCTCTGGCCTCGTCGAGCTCGCCCGCCTGTCGTTGCATCTTATGCTCCCACTCCTGAGCCACATCCTCGACGCGCTGCTTCTGGGCCAGCTCCGCCTCGGTCTCCTTGGCCGCCAGCTTCTCGCCCCACTCGCGGGCCAGCTCCTCGCGCAGCCGCTGCTCGGCGTCGGCCGCCTCCCTCTCCTTGGCGCGCACCGCCTCGGCCTTGAGCTCTTCCAGGGCCACCTCGCGCTCGGCCAGCTTGGCCTGCCAGGCCTGGTCGATCTCCCGCACGCGCCGGGTCCATTCGGTGCCCTCCCGCTCCTCCATCCGTCGCTTCCACTCGGCCTCGAGCTCGTCCAGCTCGCGCCTGAGCAGCGTCTGCGCCTCACTCTCCGCCCGCACTCGTTCGGCCGCCATCTCCTCGCGTATCTGCTCGGCCTCCAGCCTCAGCTTGTCGCCCGCCCGCTCGAGCTCGGCCTCGCGAACCCGCGCTTGCGCCAGCTGCTCGCCCAGCTCCGCGGCCTGGCGTCGGAGCTCGGCCTCGTGCTCGGCGCGCAGGTCGTCCACTCGCCTCTGCTGATCGGCCTCGCGCTGTTCGCTCTCCTTCCGCGATTCCTCCTCCCTCGCCTGCTCCGCGGCCAGCGCCTCCTCGTCGCGCTTGGCCATCGCCTCGCGCAGCCCCTCTACTGCCTTCTTAAGGGCGGCCTCCGCGTCTGCGTGCTGCCGCCCGGTCCTCTCCGCCTCATCGCGCAGCTCGCCCACCGCCTTCTTAAGAGCCGTTTCCTTGGCCTGCCACTCGGCAGTCTCGTCGCGAAGGGCCTCGAGCTGGGCCTCGTGCTGCCGCCGTTGCTCGTCCATGAGCTGGCCGTGCTCGCGCGCAGCCCGCGCCAGCCGGTCCTCCCACGCGGCCTGCGCGCTCTCGCTCCCCGACTTGATTGCCGCAGCCTCGCGGCGCTCGACCTCGGCGCGGAGTTCGGCCAGCTGGGCCTGCGCGCGCTGCTCCCGCTCGGCGGCGGCCGCCTCCCACGCCAGCTGGGCCTCGCGCGCCCGCTGCCTCTCGGCCTCGAGCGCCGCCTGCGCCTCGGCTTGGGCCTCGTTGGCGTGGTGCTCGGCCTCCCGCAGCTGGGCTGTGAGCCGCTGGACCTCCTCGTCGGCCTGCTGGATCTGCTGGCCGAGCGCCTGGTCCTTCTCGTTGAGCCTGGTGCGCCACTCCGCCTCGAGCCGGGCCACGGCTTCGCTTTCGCTCTTTATGGCTGCCTCTGTATGGACCCTCAGCTGCCGCTGGGCCTCCTCGTCGGCCTTCGCTTGCGTATCGCTGAGCTCCTTGTCCTTCTCCTCGAGCTTCGCGCGCCACTCGCCTTCGAGCCGGGCCACAGCGTCACTTTCGTTCTTGGCTTCCTCGAGCTTAGCGCGCCACTCCTCCTCGAGTCGAGCCACTACATCGCTTTGGTTCTTTTTGGTCGCCTCTGCTTCAGCCCTCAGCTGCCGAGCGTCTTCGCTGGCCTTCGCGGCGGCCTCGCTGAGCTCCCTGTCTTTCTGCTCGAGCCTGGTGCGCCACTCCTCGGCAATCCGAGCGGTGGCGCCGCTTTCGCTCTTTTGGGCCTCCTCGAGTTGACGGTTCAGCTGCTGAACGTCTTCGCTGGCCTTCGCGATGGTGCGATTGAGCTCTTCTTCACTCTTCTCATGCCTGGCGCGCCACTCGCCTTCGAGTCGAGCCACGACCTCGCTTTCGCGCTTCTTGGCCTCCTCTGCGTCTTCGCTGGCCTTCGCGACGGCCTCGCTTCGCTCTTTCTCCTTCTCCGCCAGCTTGGCGCGCCACTCCTCCGCGACCCGGATGACAGCTTCGCTTTCGCTCTTGTTGGCCTCCTCCGCCTGGCACTTCAGCTGCCGAACCTCCTCTTGAGCCTTCGTCAATGCCTCGCCAAGCGCCCTCTCCTTCTCTGCGAACTTGGCGCGCCACTCCTCCTCGATGCGGGCGGTGGCGTCGCTTTCGCTCTTTTTGACTTCCACAACGCGGGCCATGGCCTCGCTTTCGCTCTTCTTGGCCTCGTCCAAATGTATCGTCAGCTGTCGCACCTCCTCTCCCGCCTTCTCGACAGCCTGTTGCCGCTCCCTATCCTTCTCCTCGACCTCGGTGCGCCACTCCTCCACGACGCGGGCCACGGCTTCGCTTTCGCTTTTCTTGGCCTCCTCCCATTGGGCCCTCAGCTGTAGCACCTCCTCGCCGGCCTTTTCACCGGCCTGTTGCCGTTCCCTGTCCTTCTCCTCGGCCTTGGTGCGCCACTCCTCCACGACGCGGGCCACGGCTTCGCTTTCGCTCTTCTTGGCCTCCGCCAACTGGGCCCTTAGCTGTAGCACCTCCTCGCCGGCCTTCTCGACGGCCTGCTGCAGTTCCCTGTCCTTCTCCTCGACCTTGATGCGCCACTCCTCCACGACGCGGGCCACGGCTTCGCTTTCGCTCTTTTTGGCCTCGTCGAATTGGACCCTCAGCTGCCGCACTTCCTCGCCGGCCTTCTCGGTGGTCTGCTGCAGCTGCCTGTCCTTCTCCTCGACCTTGGCGCGCCATTCCTCTTCAAGCCGCGCCACGTCTTGGCTCTTGCTCTTCTCGAACTCCTCCTGCATCTGCATTTTGGCCCGCTCGAGCTCGCTGTCCTTCTCGGCGAACTTGACGCGCCACTCCTCCGCGATCCGAGCCACGACTCCGCTCTCGCGCTTCTGGGCCTCCTCCGCCTGGACCCGGAGCTGCTCGCTCGCTTGGACAATCGCCCTGTCCTTCTCCTCATGCCGAGCCACGGCGTCGCGTTCGCTCTTCTTAGCCACCTCGATCTGAGCCGTCAGCTGCTGGACCTTCAGCTCAAGCTTCGCGCTCCACTCGCCTTCGAGCCGAGCCACGGCGTCGCTTTCGTTCTTTTTGGCCGCGTCTAGTTGGGCGCGCAGGTGTTGGACCTGCTGGCCCGCCTCAGTTGCCTTGGCCTCCAGCTCCTTCTCGCGCTCCTCGAGCCTGGCGCGCAGCGCCGCTTCGGCGCGGGCCACGGCCTCCCGCTCCCTCGCCTCGGCCTCGCGCAGCTTGCTCTGCAAACCGGCCGCCTCCTCGCCGGCCGCATCGCTCCACTTCTTCTCCCGCTCCTCGAGCTTGCGCCGCCACTCCTCCTCCACCCGCTCGACCGCGCGGGCCTTGTCGGCATCGAGCGCCCGCCGCTGGTCATCGACCGCCTTGGCCACCTCGTCGCCGAGCCGCTGGCGCCACTCGTTCTCCAGCTGCGCCTCGCGCTCGCGCAGGGCCGCCAGCTTGTCGGCTTCGGCCTTGCCCCGCTCGGCGTCCTCCTTTTCCCGGGCTCGCTGCTGCATCTCCTCGCGCAGCGCCTCGATGCGGGCGTGGAGGAGCGCGCGCGTCTGCTCGGCATCGTCGCGCGCCTGCGCCTTCAGCTCCTCGATTTGGGCCTCCCTGGCCTTGAGCTGCCGCGCCGCGCCGTCGATCTGCTCGTCCTTAGCCTGCAGCTGCGCGCGCAGGTGCTTGACCTCATCTGCGTCTGCGCCGCTGCAGCTCGTGGCGGCCACGGGTGCTGTGGGCAGCGGCTTGTTGTGTGCCTGTGCACTGCCTGCGCGAGCGCGACCGGCCGCATCGAGGCCAAAGCTGGGCGATGGCAACGATGAGGGTGGCACCGGCAACGGGGCGTCCTTGGCCAGCGGCGGCTGTGGCGATGGTGACCCTGATGACGACGAGGG